TTTTAGAAAATATGCAGACACACTCCTAACTTGTTAAATTTTATTTACCACTAGTACCCGCGAACTACGTTTCGCCTTAATATGTTATACTTGGCCTACCTTTTTAGTAGCTACATACCAACATATGGAAAAAAAATTCTATGCTACCTTATAGACATTGTTCGTTTTTCCGAATTGAAAACCTAAGTACTACATAAAACTAAATTTTTCATTTTTTTTTTCATAAAAACCTTCCTTAGAGTTCAAGGAAGAAATGAAAAATTTCGTCTTCAAGATTTGCGCTTAATAACATATTTTTATTTATATAGATAATTGTACTGTACTTATCAAAGACAAGTTTAAAGATTATTAGTAAACCGTTCTTGTTTTATCAATTCAATTAAATATAACATCGTTATTCTTATATCTTCGTAAGTAGGTTAAGACTAGTCTGAACAACGAAAATATCGACTATTGATTCATGCTTCTATTATAATATTCTATTGTAACGTTCTTACAATGCATTGATAACATATTCTTTGACCTACACTTATCTTATGTTGTTTCATGTAATAAAGTTTTTTGTACAAATAAGATAGCATTTATATGTTAGTCAATATATTTCCTGTGTTCTAAAATTGATGATGCGTCATATTTTCTTGGCATTTAATGTATTTTTACCAGTTTACAAAATTTGCATTCGTTTAACGATTTTGATACCACAAAAAAACATAATTTTTATATTATAAACATTTTGTGGTTTCTTATTTTTTTATTAAACTTGACTTTGATGAAAAGGTGTTTTGGCTAGATTAGCATTGATTTTACAATAGATAAACAGATGTTTTAGTTCAATAACAATCCATTGGCAGGCCAAAATGTTTACTGTTTTCACGTATGATTTAGGAAGATCAGCTGGTCAAAGCATACTTAAAAACAACTCTACTCTGCAGTATCAATATTTTGCCTAGTTCCTGGCATTTCGCCACATTTAGCTATTAAAATAAATCCAACAATTTAAATCTGGCTATGTAAGAAGTTCTTTTATCACACCATCATATTGTATAATTCCCAACGGAACAGTATTTATTCCGGTCAAAAAAAAGATCGATAAATCATAATAAATAACAATATAGGTACATCAAAAACTTTGTGGGTATAGATTAACCAATTTTACAATTCAAGGAATTTCGAAATATGACTGTACTGCATATCATTTCAATATGATAAGTAATCCAGGCCATGGGTGATAACAGAAAAAATATCGGAGGGGACAGTAAAAGTTTCATTCGCGCAAGATCTTCTAAAACTTTGTATCAGAGGATATAAAGCGATCTAATAAAAAAGATACGCTCGATGGGATGATGACATCAAAAAATCGCGGGTCTCCAATGGATCCAAATAGGGTACAGAAATAAAAAAACGGGATACAGAAAGATGGCAAGTCTTAGTGGAGACCTTTATCGGAGAGGGTTCCTGACACATAAAGCTCAAAAAAATTATCGACAATTTTGATATCAAACTTAAAAAGATATTTAAGTCAACAATCATAATATTGTATTTTATGGACTCGTGAAGTGAGTAGCATTTAAAAACAAACACATTCCACTTATCGCTATAATAAAATATAGCAATTGAACGATAAAATTGTCGTGCTAACGTACTATTGGCCTAACACGAAATAAAATACATGGTATTTTTTATTCTTTTGTGTGAGTGACTCGCCATTACTGGAGGTTGGCCGTCAGTCTCTTGAAGTGTGAAGTATTGTACTGCCAGATGCAGCAACTCTTCCGCAGTCGCAATAGGTACCCGTCCACTCCTTATCATTGCGAAGCCATGATTTCTTCCTTCTACCAACATGCCGTTTACCCTGGATTTTGCCCATTTTAATTAATTATAGGTGGTAGTGGTCATGGCGCAACACATGGCCCAGTTGCGCAATTCAATTGGAGACCTAATTTTCTGATATCATCTTCGTCTTTACTGGTCTTTCTACATCTGTTCAATTGATAATTTTTCTTTTAAGGCAAGTCTAGGTGATCAGTTTCCCACATAAACTAAAGAAAAAGGTGGTGGATTCGCGCTTGCTGCCTTCACTTAGGTACATATGGGGCACAAACTTAGTTTTTAAAAAACAAAACGAAAGCCAAAATCGATTAATAGATTCTATCGCACGCTGGCACGAACGTATTTTATATCTATCTATGATAGATAGATATATTATATAGATAGATTGATAATCTATTTTTGTTAAATGTATGTCAATAAGATGGATGAATAAAGGCTTATTATTGACGAAGATCAAGATTAGAAATTGAATTTATGTTAATTGCAATTAAATAAATAATAATATGTAATAACATAGTGTAAGAAAAATAAGAAAATAGTGAAAATAATGTAAAGAAAATAAAAGTCTTGTTTTATTGTGTTAAATAAATAATAAACTTTTCTGTATTTGTACCATAACGCCCATATGCCCAGTTGATAGTTCATTGATCCGATGACTACACGCCTTTCACGGTTACCTTGCCCTAGTCAAGGTTAAAACTCTGATCGATATAATTAATGCAGATATTATATCTACCCCGAAGTAATAGCCTATAACACCTTTTGTTATTTTCAACTAATAGAGAACTAAACCTATGTCCTATATTATCTACAATGTTAAAAGAAACGTTAATACTAAATCAAGAGTCGAAATTTATTAGGTACCTACTTTTATTGTACACCAGTATTGATAAAAATCATAAACTTAATCAATCATCACGCACTGCTAACGCGTCCATGGCTCAATATGGGACTTCCTTTAATAATTCAATGCGTGTGTAGGGTTTCAGTAGAACCAAAATTGAAAGCCAGTTTTATATGCCGTCGGTGTCATTCAACAAATGTGAAAAAAAAAACTCGGATACGGGGTGATCGGCCTTATGAAATTTTTAAACTAATGTTTCAGGTTAGAACACATAATATATAGAGTAGGCTTAGAAAACTTATAATTAAGCATATTTACTTAAAGCTGATCTTATATCATAGAAAATCAGTATATTTTTGAGTTAGGCTTGTCCCAGCTTGAAGATTTATATTTTAAATATAGGTATAAGTACTTGCTTTTACTCAAGGATAAAGTATATTAATTAGTGAAAGACGATTTGACGGTCCAGTACCTAGTTTTTAGGTCTTTTGGTAGAAACATACAAATTTTTCCTATTTATAATATGTATAAGTATAAATACATATGTATAATAGTCCTTTTTTTGCATTAGAAACCACTGACTGCATGAGATGCAAAATTCAAGATGCTTATAAGTTGTCAAGTGGAAGTTCACACTTCACTGAACTCACGGTTATTAAGAAAGTTATCGATTTCTTATCAATAATTTCTCAGTGGAAAGTTTAGATGCATATTAACTGAATCATAACTATAAAATTATCAAAGTTTTATTGTTATGTGTGGCCAGTAAATTATATTATACATTTTAGAACATTTGTAAAACAAATTCAGTGCTAATCCATGTCACTAAGACTAGATCATAATTGATACCCAAGATACTATTGCAGTAATAGAGCCTAAACAATAGGCCCATATTGCAAATTATATATCATTTAAACATGACAGCATCAAACATCATAATAAAGCTTTCACAGATTCTTTTGATTTCTCATCAATGTAGGACAAATGTATGGACAAAAATATAAAGTTGAATCATTTATGGTTTAATATACACCATGATGTTTAATCAAAAACAAATTTTATTTTTCAAATTACTTTATTCCATAAACACATTTTTATCCCATTTAAAACAAGAAAAGGTCTAACAAATTAAACAATGAATTCTGAAAGCGATAATATCTACACAATAAAGTTTAATATTACTACTTATTTTTCTATTCTAGCAACAATGGAATTAAGATGAATTGGTACATTGAAACAAAACTTACTACATTGATAAATTTATATTAGTAGTTACATAAACATTGTTGAAAATATTGTCTTTATCAGTCATGAGCAGACGAATTGACAAATACTGCAATGCTGATCAATCTCAGCATAAACACAAGTATTTTTGTGTAATTTTTGAAAATAATAAACAAACACAAAAACACAAAGTTTGTCACATAAATAACTTTTTTAGTTAAAATATTTTTATTTTCTCCATTCCACACATTCTACAATAATGTACTTTCCAATTGCTTAAATTTTTGTTTTATTTTCTTGTTTTTCCATAAAATCTTTATAATCATGAACACTTACAACAATTTAGAATATAATTTCTCATTATATCTAGCATAGGACCACATATTTTAGATATTGTTAACATAAAAAAACTAATCTCAAACATTGTTTTTCAATTTCGAAATGGAATGTTTATTAATAATGAGGTAAATAATATCAAGACAGAAAATAAGTGAAATGAAAAATATTGAAACATGGCCTCTCAAGTGAAATGAGATTCTTATAGTAAGGTCTCAAATTTCCCATTTAATTTTTGTAAAACAATAAGGGTAAAGTGAATCAAACTACAATTTCACAAACATTTAAAAGTAGGTCACAATATGTGGTCATTGTCTAAACTACCACAAATAATTCTAATTAGTGCAAGTTACATCAAATTTAAAATTAAATTAAGTACAATATTGAAAATATATTTGATGATTAAGTATTTTATACAAATAAATTGTAATACTTTTAAGTGTAATTACTAGTGCAGATATAAAGAAAATTAAAAAAAAGAATAACTAATAACATTAACTAATCTATAATATAAATAAATAATCAAAATTAAAAGTAACTATCAACTTTAAGACACACATGTAACAGTACTGTAACTGTAACACAAATTTCTGTCTATCAACATTCATATACAGCCTCATTGCAATTTTTTTAAAAAACCTAGTTAAAAATGTGTTAAAAAATTATGTAATTATTGTGGAAAATATACAGTGAAACTATTGAAAATTTGTGTTTTTTTTCTTAGTCAGTTATCTATGATCTACTATCACATATGGGACTGGGCCGATTAGAATGCAATTGAGGATTGGGGTATTGAACACTCTCCTACAGTGACTCTGTATGAAGCTAGCTCACTAATTCCATGATAGTGGACAAATGCGGCAACAATGACAAGCACATGGAAGATCTGGTGGGACTGGAACCAGATATCACACTTGCCTGGGAACCATCTTTCAGGAACACGCAGGGCATAAAACATTGCCCCTAGAATATACAAAAGCCCCATTAGCACCAGCCAACCTAATGATGCTTTACTCACTTGGCTTAACCAGCCTTCAGTGATACCATAGTGAATGGCAGGAACTACACCAGAGAGACCAAAACCCATAAAAACTCCTGCACGAAGAGGCCTTAGTCGGGGCTCAGAGAATCTATCCCACAGTGACACTATGATGGACAGAAAACCAAGCACCACAACCACTGATAGATATATTATTTTCGGTCTATAATGGCAGTAGAAGCTGTAGTACAGCCAAGGAACAAATGAACCCATTATAAGCAGAGCTATTCCACAGTAATCCAATTTGGAGAACAGTTTTCCGACCATTTCCGAATGACAATGCAGTGTGTGATATGCAAAAGAACATCCCAAACAAACAATAGCACCAACGAAAAACACTCCAAATATCATCTTCTCTTGTGTTTGAATTTCAATGGAAGGTCGTGTTACAAAATAAATAGCTACGCCGATGAAAGCGATGCATCCAAGTAGGTGGGTCCAAATATTGCCAGTTTCTGTGTGAATGCGGAAAATAGACGCAAAGCAAGCACTGAAAGATGGTAGTGGTGGTCGGTGGCCTCTGTGTAAGTAATCATTGTCTTGAAGCCAACGCGGCAGGTGTCTAAAGTGGCATACATTCCACGACGCCTCCCACACCTTACGAACAAATTCTTCAGCTTGTTCCGCAGCGTTGTGCGCCAAAGCTCCGAGATCAATTTCATCGGACAAAACACCAGCCTTCAAAACCTCGGCCATTTCCGCATCGAGTAAGTGTTGATCTTCGGGAGTCGATGGTAGAGGACATCCTTCCTCCTCTTCCGCAAGGACCTCATCGAGCTCATCGATTTGGGATGCAAGACTCTCGGCTTCGGGATCCCATCCTTGTCTACGTCGAATACCATCCGACGATGCGCTCTGGGATCCCGTGTCAGAATCCAGTTCCCACATTTTGAAAAATAACACGGACTTACGGCAAATGGAGCCCCATTCACACAATTAATTTGTCTGTACACTGTAGCCACTCGCGTTTCACAATTTTACGACCGTCGACCGTTCTAATTACGTCACTGAAGAGATATTAGTTTTGGGTCACAATTTTCACAATGTCTTTGTTAATATGTTGTGAAAAATAATCCGTCGAAGAAAACACAATATATTGAGTGTACTAGTGGCTAGATATGATTAAAACACGATACAAATGATTTAAAACAGCTGCGAAAGACTCGTTGTCCAACATGGAGCGACCAAATGCCAATTGCCAAGTTTCCATTTTCTGATGTTTAGTGAACGTACCTTTCACCATTTTTTATTCCATCTCTGTCGGTGAAGAACAGCTATCTCACTTACGCAAACTAAGGATGGCACACTCGAAAAACATGAGAAATTAATTTTCGAAATAAAATTACTAATTTGCTTTAAAGAAAATTGGATTTAAAATTAGTGCATTCACAACCGGAAGTCTAAATTTTTGTTTTACCACCACGCTCTTATTATTTTCAAATCGTCGTAACAAAAGGGATATTTCACTTTTGGAGCAAACAAAAGATAATTGCAGTTGACCATTTACGACATCGATACCAAATAATAATACTAAGTGTTTGTAATTTAATCTAATTTTAAATTAATAATCAGAGAAAACAGCAAATTTAGGTATTAGTTTATTAACTAGATATTTAGTTGTAGTCAGCCCTATTTCAATCGGATATACGTCATATAACAAGGCAAGAATAATGCTCTCTCATTGGTTGACTAGACTTCAGAGACTCGATCACCATACGTCACAAAATCTAATGAATATACGATTTTGATTGGGTAAGTGTGGCTATACGGCATTCGCTATTTATTGAAATTGTCAAAACCAACTTCACTTCGCTTCAGTCTAACCTCAAATGATTTAATTATTACCGATTAAAAGACACCATGCACACGAGCCATCCAAAATATTAAGGCTAATATAAGCACTTACTTTTTGAACATGATGAATGTAGTTTATTGCACAATTTTACCACTATTCTTCCCTATATAAAACTATCACAACATTAAATACTGGTTTTGCAGCTGTTAAATCAAACTTCAATGTCAACTCAAAAGTCAAACATGTTTTACGACGATGAAATAAAACCACAGTATATAAATGTAACACAAAGTATATAAAAACAACACGATTCAAATTTTCTTTGCAATAGCAAGCATTGAAAACAGTCAAAAGCAGAATTTTAATGGTAATTAAATAATTTTGATATTAAGATTATCAAATTAATTATGAATATACGGAATATAAATAGATAACAACGGGTACTTTCTTCTAATAAATTTTAAATGTATCAGCACTATATCAAAAATTATGTTATATTTTAGAACTTCATACTAAATTTATCACAAAATCAATTTTACCAATTCAAGTAATTCATTTAGCATTTAATATCGATGTTCCGGTTCAAGTCAATACTTAATAGACGAATAAGAAAAAATTTTAATCTGTGCAAATCACACGTGGTGTTTGGTTTTATTATTAAGCTTTTTTGTATTTAAATAACTAAGAATTCTAATTATTTACAAAACTTGGCCCATGTAAAGATGTCTAATTTACAAGAAGTTTTAATAACCAGTGATTCTAATAATACTTTATGGACAATTAGCGTATGGGACCCGCATACTGGCACAAACTTGATGTCATACCGCGGTGGTGGTACAGCCGAAACTAAAACTCTAACATTCATTGGAAAAGACTTCATAGCAGCTGTTGAAAAAACCAAACCTATTCTACACATATGGCAATTGAATTCTCAGCAGACGGTGCAAGGCATGCGATTTATTTTACCGGGAAAGGCTAGTGCCTTTGCAGTTTCTTCGGATGGGTCTTTTTGCCTTGCTGGAATAGATGAAAAAATATATTTATGGCAATTATCATCAGGAAGTCTTTTAACTATCATTAACCGCCATTATCAGAAAATAAATCACATTAAGTTCATGCCTGATGGCCGTTTTTTTGTATCAGCCGCTGAAGATGGCATGGTTATGGTTTGGTCTTTAGTAACTGTTGCAGCAAATTCTGAAGTTGAGTTGGTTACACAATCAACAGCAGGACAACATGATCCTGTGTATATTTTCTCTGACCATTCACTACCAGTGACAGATATGTGTATCAGTAAAACAGGTATTCATGGACGCTTATGTACTGTATCTAGTGACAGAACATGTAAAATTTATGATTTAACCTCTGGAGAGCTACTGTTAAACCTAGTTTTTGATGAACCCTTGTCTTCAATTATCTTTGATATACTCGAACTTAATATTTTTGTTGGATCAGTCGGAGGCAAAATACATCAAGTTAGTCTTACTAATGTGCCACGAAATAGAGATTTATTAGTCACTGACATTGACAATGCTCACATTTTTTCATCTCATTCAAAAGCCATAACCTGTCTATCTGTGTCATTAAATGGAGAAACTTTAATGTCCGGTGGAAATGATGAACAAATTATTTTATGGCATATTAAAAGCAGACAGCCAGTTAGAACATTAAGACACAAGGGGCCCATAACTAATGCATTTTTTTCAACTAATATAGATGCTATTTACAAACAGGATTTTTCTCCTAGTATTGCACTTCACAGTTTAGAGAGAACTCTTGAAAAGGAAAGTGAAGATGTGAATGAAGTTGAATTGCTTGTTAGTAAACAAATTAACTTTTGGCCACAAATCCATAGTGAGGAAGTTATTACCAATATTACAGTACCTAATGAAATTGAATTAGACAACAAAAAAAAAATTGATGTGATGCAAGAAGAAATAGATAAACTTCAAAAAATTAATGCTAATTTGTATAAAATTTCCATTGAAAAAGCTTTGAATTCAGTTCAAAAGTTTGTAAATACTACAAAGAAAAACTCAAAAAGTAAGAATTAAAAATATTCCTCTACACCTGTGTTTTATTCTTAACTTATTAAAAGGATGGTTTTTAAGTTAGTTATTAACAATCTTAATATAAATTATATTGGGAGGGATCGTAATAACTTGTTATATTAAGATTCATTACACAATAACATAAAATGAAATATGAAAAAGTAATTAAGTGAGCCTCAATCTTAACCATTATGGTTTTGATTCACTAATCACGACTTTGTTTTGGACTGTCTTAATATCAGTTGTTTGTGGGAAATCTTTCTCTAATTTACACTTTTTCTAAAAAAAATTTCAAAGCTGGTGAATGAAACTGTCAGCCAGATGTTCCAGAAAACAGTCGGCGGGTGGGTAGCAGAAGGATCGGCCGGTCCTTATTACCAGCGTCACAGCGTGTAGTTTAGGCCTTAGTTTTAAGATATTATTTGTATACCTTGTGATACGGACGTTAGTCATAAGCTTGATTCGATTTGAAATTTTGTTTGTCCATCACTAACGTTCGCGGTTTGACCAATTAACGGAACTTTTACAACTCTACGTCGAGATAAATTTAATATTTGTTATCCCACAGCAAACATTATTTTATAATCTGTTTTTAAGAATAATTAATGTCAGTTGTCAACCGCGTCATTCTGTCAGACCGCAGTATGAGAATTGAGAACATCTTATCGTTCGATTTACGTCAAAAATTAAGTTTTAAAATAGATTACAATAATTATTTTCTTTGCATTCGAATTTGAACATAACTTTTTAACTATAATGTGCTAAAATAGTGTCTTTATAGCCCAGACAGCATGTTTTTATGACATTATTCAACCCTAAGTAAAATGAGTTTTAAAAATAAACGTTAAGAATTGTTTGCGTCATAAACAAAACAGTTTTGTTTACTATTTTCAGTTTTTGTGAGATGTCTAAGGCTGTGCTTATCCCGGAATGCAACAAAGACTTAGGGGGAGTTAAAGGAGAGTTGAGTGTCTCTCCCAATGATAAAAAAGACGGTGCCATTGGACTGTTAAGTAGGCTGCTCCGTTTTGATACTCTAAGTAAAAGGCAGGGAGTGCCTGATAGTCCTACATCTGATGAACCACCGACTACGTACTATGGAGTGTATATACCTTGCGAATTAAAGAAAGGTCCTGATGAAGGTAACAATGATAATATCTTTAGAGATTACTATTAAGTAGGTCAATGTGCTACTGCAAGATAATTCGTTATCAGATACACAAAATACTCGGGAAGTTGAAATAATCTACAATAACATGATTCATACTTTACTACTTGTTTGTCAACACACGTTTCAGGAAAATTCCCTCTTTATGTTAAACTCATTTGTGTAATTTTTGGCACATACTGAATATGCAATACAATGTTTTTTTTTAATATTAGGCAACTGATAAAATGCAATGTCCGTCTATTTCAGAAGCTCTTCATGTGTACAAAACTAAGTCAGAGGCTTTAGAATTAGTTCGAAGGTATAAATCAGCTAGGTTTAAGGTATTTAGGAATCATCAAGATGCCTTATCTTTTGCATTACGTGGAGCTGAATTTAATGATTTTCATGAAGGAAATGTCAACTGTAAGTCGTCTTAATATATATATTCTCACCATTACTAAGTAAAATGTCAATCATATATGTATTTACAAAACATTAAAAAAATTGGAATCTCGCTTTAATGTGTTGCCCAATATTGGAGTAAACAGTAATAAATTCTGGGCAGTAGCTTTTGAGTTTATTGTGATCTGACAGACTTGTATTTATATAATATAAAATTACAGACATCATTTGACGTTTTTGTAGGCATCAAGATTTTCTTCATGTCTCTTTTGGTATCTTTTGGTAGTTAATGCAGTGTTGGTTAGAAACATTTTTGTTGAGTAATTTTTTCTCTGAATTATTTACCAAAACTGATGGCGAAAAAGTTTTTTTTGGGATGGTGCTATGACACTCACATATTTCAAACTAATAGAAAGCAAGAGCCTAAAAGGAGAATTTTCTAAATCAGTTCAGTAAATCTTGAGATTACTAATCTAGAGGTTGTAGGTCCTCACAAACTTTATTACTAGTTTAGATAATCAAGTTTGAAGAAATTATTGAAACATCTATTAAATTAACACATACAACATTTTTTTATTATGAGATAATGTTATCAAATCATAAAATGAATATAAAACATCTGCTTGATTTTTGTCCATGTACCAACTACTTTTAAACAATTTATTTTAAAATTTATTGTCATTACAATATGTATTTACTTTAATTAATTTTGCTATTTAAAAAGAAGAAGGATTACATAATCATCAAGGAATAAATATTTAGAGATTTAATAATTAAAATATTTCGTGGAATAAATAATTTTAACCCAAGGTCCGCGCATCTTGTCAATGGCAGGCATAGGCAATCCACACAAATAACAGATCAGATTTTTCACATATTTATAATAATGTATTAATATGGTCTTATATAATGTAAAATTATTATTTATGTAATATCCAATATAATTGATGTCACATTAGCTGTCATGGGAGAAAAACCATACCCGTTTAAGGCACCATCACCCCAAGATATGGTGACACTCCGCAAAGCTATTGAGGCAGGGTTGACTTGTACAGTACGAGACAGAGTTTGGGACAACCCTAGATACCTTGTTAGCAGTGGCAATACTCCAGCAATTGTTCAGGTATGTGTACAGTTTCTAAAAAAATAACTTTTTTTTCTAAGCCACTGTTATTTAATAAATATTGTTAAAATTGTAGAAATAAATACACGTTTATATTTGTTAAAGACGTTTTATTTATACTTGTAGGGTTGGTGCGGAAAAGGAAACGGGGTGGTGGTTACGCGAATAAATTAATAATTGACGCGCAATTATTCACAGAAATTATATCCTTTTGTATTTTTACGGAAATATTAAACTATAATGACGTAACAGTGATGTCAATAACAAAGCTTATTTGCGCGTTTGTAACAAAAAAATATATTTTAATTTGACACTGCTGTAACCTCAAAACCCACAGCGGTTCTCTTTCCATACAAATTCGTGTTTACCAAAGACAAGTTTGGCATTCGTCAATATTAGTATTAATTTAATTTCAGGAAGGATCCCGTTACAACGCCTTACACGTAGCAGCAAAATCCCTTAACGCTGAAATATGCAACCTTCTTTTGACAACAGTGGGAAACCCCGCCTTTGTGCAAACCTTGTATGGCGCTGATTCCGAAGCGGAGTCTTGTAAGGTAAGAGCTAAGATGACTTCAGGACATATTATTGCTATTTTTTTAATACTTCATATAGTAATTAAAAAGTATTTTCACAGAAGATACAGCCAGCAAAAAATAATAGATTTCTTTTATAGCTTATTGCGTAAGAGCTTCCGCTGTTATGTTTCCGCTGCGATGAAAAGAGACATGTATTGTAATTAAACTAATTAATTTTTATGAAAAGTAGTGGAATGTATAAAAAGTCCAAGTCTGTATATATCCAGACATACCCTGAGACGATTTATTAAATTGTACCAACAACCACATACTGGGCATCACCCAGTTACGCGCAACTGGACATTTTTGTTTTCAATATTTTGGTAAAAATATAGCCTATGTTATTTAGGGATACTAGCATTGAATGGTGAAAGATTTTTTGAAATCAGTCCAGTTTTCGTTGTGAACAGAAATACAAATGTTTATGGAATGTTTCCGTAAAATATATTACGGATACGAATTTTTCGCAATTTTACTGTTATGCCATGTATAAAATATTTTACAAGATTGTCAAGTCAAATCAGTTATTTCAATGAGACCACCTAAAATGGCACTTTTGAACTTTAAATAAAATATAAAGATGATTCTAGTTGCCCCTTCCAAAAGGTAGTTTCGTGTGGAGAAGAATGGGCAAGAAACTCCACACTTACCCTACTCTTTTGAAATAGGTTTACAATATTTTGTATACATTATTTAAATAATTATATGTAAAGAAAATGTACTACTAGAATAAAACTACTATACTAAAATAAGCACAACGTATTACTTACAAATTAAGCAATGCAGCGGATAGGCCAATTATTGTACCTATTTTTAGTATATTGTTATTGGTTAGTGGACTCAGTTTCCGCACTGAGACTCTCAATAGGTCCTTTGTGCGTAAAGTCCTGGCTAACTAAGCCATCCAAAAGCACACAAGCCACCTGGGCACTTCGCAGGCTTCACGGAGCGACCTCACTGTTCCGAGGATTCCTGCACGTTGTTTAGCCACAGCCTCGCATTCCAGGACTAAGTGGGTGACTGATTCCTCTGCGCTGAAACAGCCTCTGCACATGGGGCTGTCTGTCGCGCCTAGGACAAAAAGATGTTTATTAAGGCGACAATGGCCCGTAATTGTCCCTATCATTGTTTTGAGATTAGTTCTGTTTTGGTTTAGAAGTCGCTGTGTCAATTGCGGGTCAACTGCTGTTTGCAGTTTGCCTTTCGCGACCATCGTTGATTTTGGGGTTCTGAAGATCTTTGGCGAATCTAGGTTTCGCACTTGCGAGAAGGGCAAAGGCTTTCCTTTCCAAGAGGATACGGGCCAGCAGGCATTATTTATAGCAGGCATATTTTATAGGAATTCGCGGCTATTTTAGTGGACCGCTACCTCAACACACCGGACAAGGCGATGAACGAGACTCCTCTGCATTTCGCAGCCAAATTCGGAGCCGAACACGTCGTCGATGTGCTGACGTCATTTCCGCAATGCAACAAACTCGCCACGAACAAGTATGGGGAAATGGCTAAAGATGTAAGTTTTCCACTTTTAGTACCTAATTTGTATGGATTTTGGGTAATTTTCAATTGTTATACGTTATCGGGGAAAACACATTTACGTCATGTTTCGTTAAAGCGTCTCTAACAATAATCTTAAGTTAGCCACGAAATTAATTTACGCTATAATTAATGAATAACCAACTGAATGAATACGCTCATTATATTTTATTCATTCATATACATTAAAAAATATAACTAAAAATTACAATTATTATGGGAAAACATTAACTACTAAAACTTGAAAATTCACAAAGTGCTACTTTCTTGAGGGCTGTGTCAATTCTTAAAACATTACTACATTCATGTTTGTCTATACAGTACATAAATTATTTATTTCTAACGTTTTGATTATTATGCTCTCGGTTGTCTGCAACACATTGCATTTAGTGAGACCGCCTCTTTTAATTTGTATTTTTCTCTTTATATTGTGAATGTGATGTAAATAAAGAGTTATTATAACACCATTCAACTAATTTATTTTTCATCACAATTAGATCGCATGTCCATCGTTACAAGAAGTAAATATATTTATTTCTGAATAAATTTTAGATAATCTGTAACCGCGTCTCCAACGCAAATGCGGATTTAGTCCGGCGTATATCCGTAATGCTAACGGAGCGGTACTACGTACCGGTGGTGCACGCGGAGGACGAGACGAGTCCGCCCACCATCGGGAGACCTTTCACACCAGCTGCGCCTCCTGTGAGTGGAGCTCTTTTTATATTGGTTTTAAATTCTTAGATAACATGATCTTAGATTTATTTTCAAATACAAATATTCTTGTGTCTTACCAGCGGCATATCTGTTTCATGATTTGTCAATGGCAAGTAGGTGATCAGCCTCCTGTGCCTGCCCCGTCGATTTTTGGGTATAAAGCAAGCCGGTTTCCTCACGATGTTTTCCTTCGCCGTTTGAGCTAATGTTAAATGCGCACATAGACAGAAAGTCCATTGGTGCACAGCCCGGGATCGAACTTACGACCTCAGAAATGAGTGTCGTACACATTTACCAGTCTCTCTTATTTGTTGTAACAGGACTTTTAACTATTTTTAAATGTTTTCTGTGCATTCTTCTATTTCTTGCCATCAAAAGGAATGCTTAGAAATGTATCTTACTCCATATTGTAGGATTTAAATCGCGATCCTCTATCACCTCGGTTAGAGATCCGAGCTTTCGCGGGTCCGATGGAGGAGAATGATGCTGAAAGCTTCCGTCGAAGGTGGAAAACACCTCCGCGATCTATCAAACCCAAATTCAGACTCAGAGATATGTCTAAAGGCCTCGAAGCTGTTGGAAGGTGAGTTAAAAGAATATTATTAATTATTTATTGACTTATTATAAAAACACGTTAATAATATTATTATTATTATTATTAACGTGTTTTTCTTTACAATGGAACGTTTCGTAACCACCAAGTGACCATTTTTACGTAAAAGTCACAATTATGTGGCGTAAAGAACCGGAAAGTCGCTGAAATATCTTTATTATTGTTTTAATCGCGTTAATGCGTAGTTTTTGTTACGTACGCTTGAACGCTCCCTAAATATCATCCAACTATTTTGGAGAAACTTCTTTAGCCGCATGAGGGTAAAATGTTTACGGATGAAACGCAATAATAATAATATTAGCGTCACAAGCGTGCAGCGTTTTTGTCGAAGAAGAGGGAGAGAGCGATTGAGACTGATTGAGAGAGAGAGAAAGGGCGAACGTAGCATGAAGCAAATAGCCATGGAGCGAGAGTAGGGAGCAACTACACGCTATTGGTTGATGTATTCGTTTAGTAGTTACATATTAGAACTTTGGCAATTCAGTCGCATAACGTGTTGTGCAGTAAACGCAGATTTTTATTTAAACAAATACATGGATTGATTATATACTGGTACATGATCATCTATTGAGGCTTTTACCTTAGTAATAATTAATTTACAAAGAAGTTTGACTTCTGATATGTGTACTTTGTACGCACGCACTTTTTGAAGTGAAACTTCTTTATCGGGGTTTGAAAAAAATTTAGTGTAACATTATTGCGTTACGCGTCACATTTTTCCGTTACGCGCCATGTTGCTTTTTAGAAATAGTTTCGGACCTCTAAACTTAAAACAAACCAATTATGGCTCTGCGTACAACAAAGGTTTTATATAAGTTTCACTTCTTACGTGTGTACACCTAGTACACGCACACATTTTTTTTTATATAAAATGAGGTCGTGTACTCGAGCTTGACTCACAACACGATATAAAAACGGTATAGGGTTATGTTTCACACGTATATAATAATAAGGTATAACGTATTAAATTACAGCATACTCTCATTTATTCATTTATAATTCGTAATATCACCGCATATAAGGATTCAATTCCGACCACAGCATGTATTAAATTTAATTCATCAAAATACATTTGCAGGAACTTAGCCGAACAAATGAACGTCACGTGGAAGGAGTATTGGCCGTTTTTAGACACGTTCACAGACCTCCGGACCCCAGAAGGGCTCAATTTACTAGAAAACTATCTGAGCGCGAAATTCAAGGTGGCCTCCTTCGTGGAGGCTTCGCCCCCCGAGACGTCCCTCAGCACGCCGAAAGAAGTGCCGAGCCCTATTTCAGATTTGTGCAATGCGATGAAATCGTGTAATTTAAGCGACAGGCCATATTGGATCAGGACGGATCCGGTGAGACAGAGAATGTGTCGACAACCTAATGCGAGGTAAGGAAAAGGTTGTGTATGTATTTAAATGTGTGTGTTAAGTTATTTGCTATGTACTTCATAACTTGGAAACAAGAGATTGGTCTCTTACATATAATATACACGATAATGGCGTATAGATTATAGTTTTAATATACAACTATATTAATTCTAAATTCGGCAATTAATTTAAGCTGTCAGAGAGAACTAATATGTACAACTCTTAATAGTTAAATATTTATTTCGTAAATAAAATATATAAAAAATAAATCAGTGGCGCTACAACCTTTTTAGGTCTGGGTCTCAGATGTCTATATCTGTTTCATGATTATTATCTAATAAGCAAGAAGGTGATCAGCCTCCGGTCCATGACACAACGACGTCGACTTTTTGGGTAAATCGACATCCTCGAGATGTTTTCCTTCACCGTTCGAGCGAATGTTAAATGCACACAAAGAAAGGAAGTCTGATGGTGCACAGCCGGAGATCGAACCTACGACCTCAAAAGAGTCGCTCTTTTCGTATATATTATTGAATACAGAGTTTTAATTATGTTTTTGATTTAATTTTTTGTTATATTTCACACAGGGCTACAACAAACGGGGAAACATTCCACATGAACCACACGGTCAGTCAACTGCTTTGCATAGAACGGACCTGTCAGGTGTTCGCTAAACGCATTGCGGATGCGCTCATTTTCTCTCTGACAGCGGAACTGGAAGTCGCCGGCGATTCCCTCAAGTCGGAAGCCACGCACCTCCTCAACACGATGCTGACCTACATGGACGACGAAAGGTTCCAGGGCATCGACTTCGCGTTGACCCATTGGAGGCTCGCTCAGCTGGTCGTCTTCAAACTGCGGCAGAGGATCGATTCGGACGACGTCAGCTCTCTGTTGGAATTTCTGGGCAGGACGAGATGTCCCGACGACGACGTCAGCTCGGACGATGAGAAGGCGCATCGGAGGAAGACGGGGAAGGCGGTGGAGGCCCACGTGAAGTGCGTGTCGAGCTTCATCGCCGAAGAGTTGGAGGGCGAGGGGAGCAAGGGGCCCGCGGTTTCAGACCTCGAGTGTGCCGATATTTGGAGTAAGGCGGAGAAGTGCAGGTAAAACTGTTGTGATGGAAAATTCTACTTCACGTTTCTATCAACATTAAATTTGAAAAAAATTACTGTATATAAAGATTAAATTAAATGTATGTTAGTATATTTATTATTAGTACACGACTTCCGACGGCGAAGGCCAAATTCTTCCATTTGTATCTCATCTTTGCTACTATGTTCCGATTTCTTTTGTTTTATATTCCCATGTTTCTGGTATGTCTTACTGGGTCAAATAAGAGTATTTTTGACCCATCTGTCATCACAAACGCGGCAATGTGACCGGTCCATTTCCACTTTAACTTTTTTGAGTGTGTTACATGTGTTTGTAAGGCTTCATATTACGCTGTTTTTACTGTCTTTAATTTTCAACCGCAGTGTAGTTGTTCACCTATATTGTACAGGTTTGTTCCAGAAATGCGCGGATATTTCAAAAAACTACTGAACCGATTTGGATTTCTAGGGTTTCCTAAGTTGGATCCAGATTTAATTGACCCAGTTTTCCTTAAAAATAACATTTTTTTTTTTTAATTTAGAAACTGAGTTTTTAATTGTTACAAAATATTAAGAAATAGCATCCGAACCATGTGCATTTTAGCCTTTTGAGAAAAAAGATTAAATTTAAAATATAAGTACAAATTATAAATTAAATTTGTATTATATTTTAAAATAATAATGAAACAGTCCTGATAATGGTCATATACCTAAGTAACATCTTTTCTGAATTTATTTAGTTTCACCGTTTAAGCTGTGAAATAATTAAGTACTTAATTCTCCGAGATTTGTTTAAATAAAGCTTTGTTTATATCATTTTATCATAATCGGACATATATCTGTGTCTGTTTTGCTGATAATCCTTAAAAGACCTCGCCAAAAAATTATAGTTTTGTTCTGTAACAATCGAAATCATTATTTTTGCTTATTTGCTTAATTTATTTCAGATGTGAATGGAAGATGGAAATGTTTGAGAGGAATAGTAAAAAGAACGCTTCGTTCAGAAAGAACAGGTCGATTCTCTCCAGTAGTCCTAAGAGTGACGGCTTCATTAGAAGATTAACGTTCGACCACGATATAGGTATGTAACTTTGACTATGAAGGCACCGCAAGCGTGCCGCAAGTGTGTGCCATGAAATAATAAAACGTAGATTTTTGAAGTTATACTTCTTTTGGCGCGTTGGGAAAAAATTATGAGAGTAAATTTTTACGATGCGCGCGCACACCGTCACAAAAAACCGACAGCCTGAATATCTGTTCAAACGTCGGTAAAAAGTCTGGGCCGCTAGTTGGTTGCTCTGTTTTATCGACAAGTTGCATTGTCTGTCATGGCGTATAGTGTTTTTCAGAGTCGTGTCTATTTAAACCACAATATTTATTTCTATACGAGAAAACCCATTCCAATGTGATAAAAAACATAGTTTTTATTGTTAAATATCATGATGAGTACATATTATATCGTTTCGATTGGAAGTGAACATTAAAATGCACCAGGAAAATGCAATTCGAAAAGGGAAACGTCCCTCTAAAGTGCTCGAAGTAAATTATTACGCCAAAGAACTTCTAACGCGTGTTCATAAGGACACACACGTTTATTTTTTATATGTAAAATGGTGGTAGTCAAATCAATTTTGTCGGTCGACCGGTTTAAACATAAATATACAAACATTATGTAGTCTAAGTGTTTTCTCTGTGTTAGTTTCAGTTCCGTTATCTTAGTCTTAAAGCCAATTTAATATCTGTAACTAAATCCAAGAGATACTGATAAATCTGCTTCACGGAACGATAACATAATTTCAGGCGACGGCAAGCTTCAAAACATAGAAAACGTAGAGAAGGAGCCACAGAATATGAATTCGCCAGGAGGAGACAACGTTCCTACTGTTTTTACTGTGGACGTTGCCAAATGTCGAGTTGTGGATGCAGAGGTGAGACTACTGAACATAATTACTTAGGAGTATTCACTTTGTGGCTTGTGAGACCCAAAAGTCGACGGCGTGTGTCTGGTGCAGGAGGCTGATCACCTACTTGCCTATTAGATTTTTTTTGAAGTTCTGTAATTTTATTTTGGTTTCTTGAATTTTCGTTGAATAAACCAAATGAGCTTTGGAAATCCTATAACCTAATGGTATGTTTTTAATAATTTTGTCCATCCGTTGTAGATATCAGACGACAACTCGGACTCGGAAGAGGCCTATTTGACTGCGCCGGAGTCCCCCGAGAGCTCCGACGACGAAATGTTTGACGCCAGCGATCGACCCTTCATCGAATGCTTCATAAATGGGTATTTACATTCATATACGTATACATGCTTCTATAATATGAGAAATGTTTTTTTCTATTTTGTTTTGACGTTTAATATATATCATTGGTTAGCAGGTTGATCTGTATGTATGTGATATTGTTTATTTTTGTGTTTTGAACTATTGAGGCTCCCAAGCACGTGTACCAACGAACGGGTGTGTAAGTTAACTCACAAAATTCTGGGAAAGTCATACAAGTTCCATCAAAATCGGCTCAGTATTGATATATTCACGCCTTGCTAGAAGGAACATACGTCAGAGCAATGATGTTACTGTCAACTGCCATTCTCATTATATGTCACAGAGCTTATAAATTGACAACATAAATGTCAAATTACTTCAAAAACTTTAACACTAGTGGTTTATTTGATTTGCTAATGTTGCTATAATAGTGATTATTATTCAAAAAATATTTAATTTGTCTAAATTACATTTTAGTTACACTTCTGCGAAATTTGTATTTATTTATCTGTTTAATTTGAATCGACTTTTTGATTTAAGCGAGGAGCCAACCAAAATAGACCGTCAAGTGTTCGAAGCGTTGTCCGATTGTGCAATATCTTCCGAAGAGTTTCCTAACATCTTCCGTTGGCGACATTGCATTGGACTCTACTCGGAACTGGAGAGGGAAAGGTAATGCTTTGTGTATTTCCTTTGTTTTATTTGTGTTTTTTTTAATTATTTTTTTATGGCATAACCAGGCACCGCAGCCCATGATCACCCATAAAACAGATACAGCTTATGCTAAAAATATATTAAATAACCCAGTGGCGCTACAATCTCCTATATTTGGTCTAAGATTTCTGTGTTTTTAAATAAGCAAGTCGATTTTTAAGTCAAAGGCGGTTAAGTTTTTAAATATTGCACATATATGATCTATTGATGCACCTTCGATGCAAAATTCTTTAAGTTTCATATATTTTCTACTCGCATATAAAGAGAGTTACTTACCTTTTGAAACTTATTGTATTTTTTTCTCTATTTTTTGTGTTTGAAGATACTGAGTTTAATTGCTGAATAATACATCGTTTGTGTAAACAAATCGTCTAACGCTATCAAGCATTTATTGTAAAATTTAAATATTTAACTGAAATATATTTCCAGTTGGCAGACAACATCGAACGCCGATGGCAGCATAGTGTCGTCGATATCCTGGAGTATTTGCAATTCCCCCCGAACGCCCCTGTCCACCCCCGGAAAGCCCCAAACGCCGGGAACACCCAACTGGCCCCTCACCCCAGGGAGCCCCGTTTGCAGTACCCCACACAAAGGGATGTCATCGCCGGGAAGCAGGGAAGACAGAAATCCATCCTTACAGGTATACATGAGTTCATGAAAATGTTGAAGTCATTTTATTTTATTGAAGTGAAACTTCTTTAGGCGCATGAGGGTAAAATTGTTACGGAACGTCACGAAGATGTGCAGCGTTTTTGTCGAAGTAAAGGGAGAGAGCGATTGAGAAAGAGTGAAAAAGAGCGAATGTAGCATGAAGCAAATAGCCATGGAGAAAAAAATATGTTTATGTCGCCGTAAAATTGTAAACACCGTTAGATTGTAATCTATCTCGCGAGATTGTGAACCTCAACGTACTGCTTACAATTTTTTTATTTAATGACAATTTAATTCCTAACATTTAATTCATTGAAATATGAAGTTTTAGATTTGTATAAATATGAACAAGACTTTAAAAAAAATTTTAAATCAATGTTTTCCTCTCCTTTAAAAATATATATTTGTTTCAGGTATCAAACTGGCTTCGGGTGACGGGACAGAATTCTCCCCGAGCGACGCTGACGAGTAAAAACGTCAGTCACAACGTGAGCTTTGGGTTCTAACACCCGCCTTCTATTCATTTTGACATTCATAACAATTTTTATTAATTATTTTTTAAATCCCAAGTCTGTTACGTATTTTTGGGGCTTCCGTAATATTAGGTTGCCCATGGGGGCAAGAAACACGACTCGATATTTTTGACAATCTTTCATTCTTCTTTGTATTAGCGATTTGGGTCTACATATACAGGGTGTTTAGTTTCGTGCTATATTTACTTAGATGACGTATTATTAATCTTGACGCTATATAAAGAATTTTCGAAAAAACTATGGTCTTGTGAGTTAATTAAAGAAAATTGTAAACATAGTTTTTAAAATATAATATGACGTCATGGATTTTTAATTTTGTTGAGCTTAAAGTAAATGTGGAAAGTCCTAGAAACTAGATATCTTGTAAAGACCATAATTTGTAGTAGAATTCACGAAGTTTAAAAACTTTGAAATTTGTTTTGAAAGTGCTCGGTCTTGTAGCTTTCGCTAGATTTTATTCAAATTCCACTTAATTTGTATTAATACGTGAAACGTGAATTTTCGGAAGTAGAAGAGTTTAGTAATAATTGATTATAAGAATTAGTTTTTAATGACAATTTATCATTGAACCCCGTTGGCACTCGACAAAGCTTCTCACCTATTGTTTAATAAGAGAAATTTTATGCCAAAAGGTAAAATGTAAATAGAAAAAATATCTAAATTTTAACCAGTGTTTAAGAAAGTTATGACGTTTCACAGTGATACTAACGTTAGTTCTAAAGTTTAATTTTAACAGAAATGACTCCGCTTATTGTATCCATAGGCTGTGTTATTTGATATTATCGTATCAAATGTGGGAATGTCCCATATCAAAATACTGATACGACTCTGTTTCGCCTATGTGTACTCTAAGAACTTTAGGTAAATATAATCTCAGCTCCGACTACACAAAAGCCACTACTTTAGAAGCTCTAAAACTTTGGATTAAAAAGAGACAGCTATATTTTTCAATCTCTGGCTTTTGTGTATTCGGGCATCTTTATTTGTATTGTTGTGTCCCTTTAATTTTGATTTACGCCGTCGGTTAAAATATACGTTTTGTGTTAAATATAAACCGAAGGCGTATCTCGATCGGGTTCTATGTTCCGGTCAAGTTTTAAATGTCAAAAAATATTTTCATATACTTTTTATAGTAGAAATGTTATTTTATTTCTTACAAAAGAACTATTTCCTTCGAAAGGTCGAGGGAAATAGTTCCTCGGTGCCCCGGCATCGAAAAAATAAGTAATAGAACAATTTGATTGAACATAGCGCCCTCTTTGCATTTCTCAAATTTTATGTTAAAGTTGATCAGTTGACAATAATTGTTCGCATTCATTAGCATTTAATGTTTTTTTGCAAATGACGAAAAGTCGCCCTCGGGGGACCTCAGATGAATGTTTGTACTTTTATAAAACGATGAATATAAATTTACGAAATAAATTATGATTGGTTTAAAGTGTTTTATTCATATCAAAGGATTTTACCAAAACAAAACCAAAATTTATTGGCTAACATCGATCGAAAAAGTTATCAATTTAAGTCTCCCAAAAGTTTCTGAAGTCTTCGGAGTCCTTGGCCAGAGATATCGGGGAGCGGTCGTACTCGGATCGGCTGTTGTAATTATCGACGTCCGCCGAGAAGTCGTCGGGATATTCCTCTTGCCCGTCGTTCACGGAATCTCTCTTCGACTCCATTTGCATGTCGACGCTCGACACGTCTTTATTCTGAGAATGATATATAGCGTTCAATAAATCGTCGTCGGTCAGCTTTTCCAATTCGGGAGATTTGGATCTCTCTCTGTCGTTTACTTTTGGACTCACTATTATTGTCATCTGCGTTGATATTTTGTCTTTATCGTCGACTTCGCTATCCGACATCTCCTTGGTGTCGATCGAGCTCTCCACGACTAAGACTCTGTCGGAGTCCATTTTAATACTATTCATTTCACAGTTCTTTTCGATATCGACTCTTAGGAGATTTACTTGGTTTTCGTCTACGTCTTTAGTGACTTCTGGGATATTTTCTAAAGCATAGCTCTTTGTGTCCGATTTCGGAGTCGCATCGGCCGGAGTCGACATATTGGGAGTGAGGTTGTAAATTTTGTTTATATTATCCTGAAGTATTTCCAATTCCGTCTTGTCAATAGAAGTTCCATCCGTTGGTTTTTCATTTGAGTCTTCGTCTAATATATTCATGGGTCTGCGTTTTGTTTTACTCGACGTGATTCTAGTGTGATATAATTTTCTGAATTCTGTTAATGGTGTTTCCAAGTAATTCGTATTAATTCCAAATATTTTCTGCCCGATATCGGAGTAACCTGGGGGTATGGGTTTAATAATTTCCGACGTGGCGTTTTTATTCTTAAAAGGTATTTCAAACGATCGGTACTCCTTTAAATATTTGTCGAGATCATTATTTTTGAAGTTAAATCCTTCAAGATTAATAGGTTCGTTATGCGTTGAATTGCTTCTTTTAATATCTGAAAGTGTTTAATTGTTAGTTTTAGTATTGCCTTTCAGAATTTTTTTTGTTTAAAAAATTAATCTTATTTTATTTATATTGATTGCTAGAACTCACAATTACATTATTTTGGAATTTACTGACTAAACTTACCTAATTCCTTCCCTCCTTTATCAAAGTGACTCTGATTTAAACTATCGTCTCTCTGTCGTCTCCGGAAGTCCTGATACGACCTCTCGACAGCTTCCGCTTCGATCTCCAACTTCCTCAAACGCATTTTGGCCTCTCGCAACGTCGTATTCGGACTCTTCTCGCGAACAGGCGGAGGGTCTCTTGTGCTGTGATTGCTGAAATATTTTAGTGACGAGTTCCTGCTTAGTGCTATTAGTAGTATGAGTACAATTTTAGTTTCGAGTATAGACAATAGAGCACTAGGTTCTACGAAATTACTTTTTAATATTGAAATGTTCGGTAGAGATAAAATATATCACACGCTGCTACTACAACTGGAATGCCACAGTTAATAGAATCATTTATAGAAAAATTTATCAATCAAATGATTAATACTTAAACTTAAACATATATTCGACGAAATTTATTATTAGATACGTTATTAATTTATATTATTATTTGTAATATCGACATTATATTTACCAACAATAAATAATATGTTTATTTTGTTAGTAAATAAAAAAACAACATTGATTTGTTACATAAACAATGTGTATAATGGCATTACACATTTGCAATATGTAAATTATTGTAAAAAATTTACATGCAGTAACTCACTTCCGTAATTTCTCTTTCGCTTCCCGCAAAACAGATTTGGGACTCTTTTCTCTCGGCTTTCGCTCGATATTAAACTCCGATACTTGCTTTTTCGTTTGTTCCGAACACACATTACTACAAAATGCAAAAAGACATTATATATATATATATATATCTTCACAATAAAGTTAAACACTATTAAGAATCCTTACCAGGCACAAGACGTGTTGTCTTCATTGTTTTGATCAGAACTTAAAGGAATATTTGCGCTTTTAGTCGGCTCTTCTGTTCAAAATAAAAATATTAATTATTTAAAATTTAATTTAAATAAATACTACATGTTGTAGCAAATGAATTTCTTTTCAATTGATTTATTCTTAAACCACTAAAGGACTAAAAAAGCTCCTGTTTAAAAAAAAGGCATTTCAATTACCATATTGTCTGTTTGTCACTTCTCTGGTGATAAGTTTTGAAGTAGTAGCGATTTGCGGCGTCGCTCGGCGGCGTAAAGAGCGCCATTGGTTTATGAAATGTCTGTAATACATTTCAATAAATTCATTTAATTAAAATAAGGAAACATTTGTATCTTTGTGTTGACGTGAAGGCGAGATAGCTGGACGTAAAATATTAAGAAAATAAAAAGTAGACGAAACATATAAATTTTTATTCCTAGCTGAAGGGAGAATGTACGAAATCCTTGAGTGATTTTTTAAACTACAAAAGCATAAAAGTATTAAATGGAACCGAAGTAGGTACATAAACGTTGAAAATCTATAAAACTATTGAAAGGAGAACTTAAATACTAGCTATAGAAAAGACAAAACTAACATATGGAGCTATTCTTATTTTCTATTTTATTTAATTAATTAAACGATTAAAGGAAAAGCTCTTTACATAAGCATGGGAGGGTATTTAGACCATAAGTTTTGACGTCAATTATAAATATCTTAATTGTTTATTTTAGTTTTACATTATTATAATATGAATGTGACATATACATGCCTATTTTTAAATTGATGGTGATGATATCAATCAATAAAGGATTATTATCAGCAGAAGCCAATTGACAGACAATTTTTTTTTAAGTTTCAGCAGGCAAACGGGCAGGAGGCTCATCTGATGTTAAGTGATACCGCCGCCCATGGACACTCGCACTGCCAGAAGGCTCGCATGCGCGTTGCCGGCCTTTTAAGAATTGGTACGCTCTTTTCTTGAAGAGGTGCGGCGGTAACAACTGTCTTAACAAACGCTCAGTTGTGGAACGACGGACGTCGAGCTGATACGGATGGTATTTTGTATTCTGCCTCGATGTCCATGGTAATTGAGACACAAATAAAACATATTAGACGATTTTTCTCACATTTTTCTTTTGAGGATATCAGACTCACCTGCGACTGTCTGTATGTCTGTCTTTCAGCACCCCGATGAAGGGCAGTGCGTCTGTGGGTGCGAAGACGCGTCTTTGGGGAAATAAATTGACTTGTTCGCCTCCACCGATACTACTCACGAACCCCCTGGTCGTGTGGGTGCTAAAAGTTATATTTTTATTATTATGAAATTCATTAAATAGATTTAAGCTATTTACAATTATGTTAATATTTTTTTACAGTTTATTCATAATCGATAGCTATTTTAAAGATAATATTTACAATTAAATTAAAGATCATTATGTACTACCAAAGACAATGTACTTGTAAGGTGTGTGTGGGCTGTGTGCGTTTATAGGTGATATTAAGAATCCATACAATTTGTTTATTTCCTTCGAAAATACATGGAAGAATATGAATACATATATAAAAAATATGAAAATATTGAATTAAACTTACCAAGAAAAAAAGAAGTTACTACAACTGCGTTTGAAATAAAACGGAAATTGGAATAATAATATTAAATATCCAATTATTAAAATTACACGGGAATCGATAATATGCTCCGTTTTTTAGTAAGTCGGTGAAAAAATTTAAAGTCTAATTTAGTTTTTATTTGTAGTCAATATATGGATTAATCTCACCTCGTAAACGGCTGTAGCAAAGTGGGTGCGGTTTGTGGTCTCGCATTCGTCACCTCTGAATGAAGACGACTGCGCTCACTTGCCAACGATGCTATGTGATCACTTTGCTGTAAATTAAATTAATTCAATTTAAAACGAATTAATCAAATAATTATGTATTGTTGTTACTTGTATTGACGCAGATTTTTTATTTGAAACTAGCTGCGCCTGCGAACATCGTTGTGCCTTAATATGATTATAACTCAAATTACCAGCAAATAGATATATTTAATGTAACTAAAAAATTTTTAAATATAAAATATAAAAAACCCTGGTATTTTTTATTAATAATGGCTTTGTTATCCTTCTTTTATGTTAAATATATATTATAATGATCAATGAATCTTAAGGTGCGCTTACACGGGCAACTAAAATTGCTCAATTCCAGTCATTACTCGTCAACTATGACGTCACGACTGCATCAAACAATTTACGGCAACGGCAACAAGCATCAATACTGCGCAATACAATATTGAGCGATACGGCGCAACTTCATCAACTAGGCAATACTGTCCTACACGAGCAATTCAGTATTCGCTCGCTATAGACGACATTGTTCTTGCTGCGGCGGTACATTTTTTCATTATTAATCAAAAACAAAAAAGATAAAAAAGGAATAGGCGTATCTGGGTGCGATCGTTATTGGCCGCAATTTTCATTGTGTAAATAATTAGATGATATATTATTCAAAAACTTTACTAGAATGTCACGAACAGACTTTGAATTACTTTTGAATAAAGTAATTAGAAATTATTATTGTTTAGACCTCTCGCTCTCCCCGCGGAAGCAAGACGGCAAGCCGCAAAAAGTGCGAATGAGATATGTATATACAAAAATTGCTAGGAATTTCCAAGTCCATTGGATATTCGTCAATTCGTATCTGCGATATTGAGCGATATGAAATATCTGGAGCAATTAGAAGCAATATCGCCGAAATAATTTATTGAAATTGCTCCAGATCGGTCCATTCGTGTTGCCCTCGTGTAAGCGCACCTTTAGAACTTAGAATTTATCATAAATACATATATTTTTTGTATAAATAGGTAAAACTGTGCTTTGTTTATGTTTGAATGTGTATTCCGTTTTTGGCTTTTGTCTAATTGTTTGGATATTGTTTAGTGAGTAGCTGTAGGAATACTGTTGAGAAAATAAATAAATGATTTTTTACTTAGCCTAACTTTTTAGTAGCTACGTACCAACATATCGAACATTTTGCTATGCTATCCCATAGAGACTGTTCGCTATTCCGGATTAAACAGTTCAGTACTGCATAAAACTAGTTTTTTTATATGTTTCCAACTTTTATCTCCATAAAAACCTTCCTCAGAGTTTGCGGAATAAATAAAATAAATAAATAAATTTATTTTTAGTTAAGTATTAAAATTAATTGAATTTAAATAAAGAATTTCACCTGTCGTGCTAAAACATTTAGCCGATGATTCTCGTTCCTCAATCTGAGCAATTCTGCGCGATCACAAAAGTCACGGTCGTCGTGGTCACTCTGGTCACGGTCACTGGACGACCGGCTAGCGCGTTGGTAATCGTGATATATTGCTTCGTTTGACTAAAACAGTGAAACAGATATATTAACGTACCTACTAATGATTTATTTTAAATAATTTTCACCATGGAGGGTTATTATTGTCTATTGTTCTATGAACCTTCGAGAATAATAGAATAACTTTTTGATGCGTGATAAACGTGGTTTTTACTAATTAATGATGAGAGTACGATTATTTATTGTGATTTTTTTTACGTAATAGGGGGCTAACGGGCAGGAGGCTCACCTGATGTTAAGTGTTACCGCCGCCCATGGACACTCACACATTAACTTTTGTTTTTGTGTTTGTTTTTATGTTAAGTGGTAGTACTCAATTTACGTATAAAATATGTCTGCGCCCGTTTAAATATACCTTTTTTGGAATACCTAATTAATTAAAAAAAATATTGGTCACATAGCACAAAAATTACCATAAAATTAACATTCTTCTGCTTCAAATCGTTGACAATCAGCCTTTGTTCATTATTCAGTAAACTTTCCGTAGCTGTTCCCTTTTCGGCCAAACATTTCACATTTTTTTCGACAAACTGCTTCAAAACCTGCAACTCGTTTGCCAAATCTTTATCCAACTCCTTTTTATTGTATTTCTCTTTTAAAATCTCTAATCTTTCTCTTTCCATGTTGATGCTATCTCTCTCTTTCTTCATGGTCTGCAAGTGTTCTTCTAATGTTTGCAATTCTTCTGATATCTGCTTGCGCATGTCCTCTCCCCGTCTCCGTAAAAGATCTTCAGCTTCTTTTGTTTGGGATTTTAGGTTTTGTTCCTGGAAACGCGATGTTCTAGTATTATTCAAATTAAACCAATTATTGCCATATCTGAATTATAGTAGTTAATTTAATGTAAAAATAATTTCGTATGTCGACTTTATGGTAGACAGAAAAATGACCAATTTATTTTGTATTTTTAATAAATAAATATCTAATTACGGACATTTTAGGCAAAAAGAATGTGAATAGAATACTATATACCTACATATGTATATGTGTGAATATATATAGAATGTGTAGCCTCACACGACTGTAGTATAATAATTTAAAATTTTGGAACATACATACATGTTACTCAGGGGTAATATAGCATTTCAATCGTGAAAGAATATATTAAATAATCCAGTAATTTTGGACTTTTTTGTTACTTTTCTCTTTATAATATTTACCAATAATAGAAAGTAGTTTGCTAAATTAAACACGTATTAATATTATACCTTAGCAGTCAATCTCTCCGTCTCGCTCTTAACATCGTCCATCGCCTTCGTCATGGCATCGTGTTGCTGCCTCAACGATTTCGCCAAGTTCCAAAGAAATTTCTTTTTCTCGTCGACACTTTTACACAATTCCAATTCGCGTTCTTTAAACGATTCCTCCAACTGTGAAATGCCAATTTATTTACGAAACACGAACAAAATTATTAATTAAATTAGTATTAACAGGCAGCACTCAAAACTTTCGCAAGAGTTTCTTTGTGAAAAATACCAATGTTATTTCAGTTCGACACAACCAGGGATTCAAACCTGAGAATGAGTCAGTCATATAATACAATTTTGGGTGTGTGGCAGAGAAAGAAGTGGACTAAATGCCGTGGAAATGTGAGCGTTAAGAAGTGCATTGCGTGATAGAATAAGTAATAATGAGCTGTGTGGGTTAAAAGAGCACAAGGATACGGAAGAGAATGATGAGGTGGCTGGTGATGAATGAGAAGCGGTTAACAAGGCAACCATGGATGGTGAGATCGGGTTGGGTAGGCCTTGTCGTACATACAAATCCAGGTGGTACCAGAAAAGGGACAAGTTAAAAGTACTCATAACCGGGAATGCCTGGTGAATATCATGAAAGTGGATGAAGCGAAAGATCTAGGGACCGTAGCAAGTGGATATCAGTTGTCTCTGCCTATCCCTTTGGGAAACAGGCGTCATTATAAAAATAAATAAATATACCAGAGTATTTAGGGTCACATTCAGAGTCTAGACTTAGATCTAACAACGACGTATTGAATTTTGATTTTGACATACAAGTCATACTTAACGTTAAATATTACCCTTAAATAAAATAAATAAATGGCGCTACAACTTTTTTAAGTCTGGGCCTAAGATTTAAGTATCTGTCTCATGATCATTTGTCAATCTAATAGGCAAGTAGGTGATTAGCCTCTGCCTGACACACACCGTCAACTTTACGAAATATTACCTACCCTTTAAGATTCAAAGCCTTTATTTCAACTAATTAGTTAGTTGAAACCTATCCTTAGTTCCAGTTTAATGCTAGTATTTATATTAAATACTATACAAATTTATGTATAAGACCGCATTACCTCCTCCCTTTGCTTCTGAAGCTGTATGGTGTGACTGGCGATAGATTTCCTAATGGTATTTTCTTGTTCCTCCTTTATCATATCAACTTCGGATTCATACACGGACTTCAGTTGCTCAAACATCTACGTAAATAAGAATATTATAAATGTAATGTTAATACATCCTTAAGTCAATGTTATAATTAAACAATTGAACGAAATTAGCATTCTATATGGCGTCAAATCCTAATTAAATATATTAGGTCCTTACATATGAAATTGGCGGTTTATCGTACTGGATAGGAATTCAATGGCCCAAGGCCACTGCTGCTTCACGACAACCCTAGAACACAACAGACTGCTACCGAAATAGAGCAGCTTCAATTGAAATGTCTAAGACATCCCTACTCCCCGGACCTTGCCCCAACAGATAACCATTTGATTGATAACTTCTTGCAAGGTAAAAATACAAGTGTGCTGGGGCGGTTGAAACCGCCACTTAAGATTTTATTGATTCACGTTCGAATGTTTTTTTTAGTAAAGGGATCAATAAACTACGTATAAGAAGGCAAAAGTGCACAGATAGCAAACATATTCTATTTAAAAAGAAACCTACTTTTTGTTCCTCCCATACAAAACGCCGATTTCATATGTAAGGACCTAATAAACATATATATATATAATTATACCATAATCAAAATGAGTTTCGTGGTTTACTTTGAACTATCCGGTCTTTAGACGAACACAAGTTTAAGCTTTTTACGCCTAAAACATCGACTTTGAGTCTTAATTACGCACACAGAAAAGACTCAATGACAACCGGGATTCGAACTCACGACCTCAACGGTGGTTTAGACTTAAATAACAAAAACGAAATCAGACCTCGTTTATGATGCCTTGTTCAACAACGGACAGGTTTTTCATAAAACATCCGGGGTCCAGCGAATTCGTGGACTTTGGAGTCTGCAAGTTGTTTATGGTTATTATGGATCTCTTATTATTATGTGTTTCTACATTTCGGTGCCTCGAAAAGTTAAAACTCCCCTAATATTATGAGAACTAAGACTTTGATTGAGAATGTTAGACTCAATTGAAGTTTTAAACAGCCCATTTACAGAGGAAGGATGCTATAATATCACACCGCGACCAAATGACGGCAGGGCATAGCTATATATTATTATTATATTAAATTAATATTCTTATTAACAATTGAAGAAACAATTAACGAACTGAATTATACTGTTCTTTTTTATCAGATTCATATTCAATGAAAATACCTCATTGAAACGTGTCTTGCGTTTGTCGTATTTCTCTTTGATCCGAATCACGCGATACTGACACGTCTTACAGAAGGAATAATGTCGACATTTGCGTTTCTTGATATTTTTCTTAAAATTCCCATCCAATGTGTCTGTACTTTTGTCACTTGTTAGGTTCTCTTCTGATACTGTAACGGAAAATAGAACTACATTTAGTAAGAATATATTAAGTTGTTCTTATAAAAAAAATAACACATTGTAACTTTGTATGCACCAGCAAAAATCTTAAGGGTATAAAATACCATTTTAAAAAAAATTTATGAAATTAAATTACATTTTTAAAATTTTTAAACAAACAGGGTTTTTCAATTTAAGACTAGTAAACAATTTAAATTATCTCAAAATTTCCTGTACATTATTTAAAAAAACATGTCTGTTTAAATCTGTCTTTTTAACCATCCTTTATCAATGTATATAATACATATATAATTAACTAATAAAACTTACCATTATCATTAAAAATAGAGTCCTTTTGGCACAATGATATACATTTAAAAATACATAAGAGAAGCGGTATTTTTTCAGACTGATACATTTCAGAAATTTTAAATGCATGTTCAGAGTCACATTCAATGCCTGTAATGATGATTTATTTTAGGACAGAATTACCATTGGTCCCTCGAACAGTAGAATTTATGTGATATTTTTATATCTCTCTATATATGCTGTCATTGGTCTTAATAAATATAACATACCCATCGCCACTAAGATACAGGAAGTTCAGAATAGATTTCTATGAAGAATCCTTAGCAAAGACTTTTAAATAACTAAGTCAATTTAGTCAATTATTTTACACGCAGCTAAAATCTTAAGTTTTTATTTTGATTTAGTTACAATGTTGCATTTGTTGCTGTTTTGCCCATACTTATAATTTTTCATTATTGCTTATTTATCATTCCTAAACTTCTATGTTCAAATATTTTTCAACTTACTTTTCTAATCATAGTTTTCTCTTATGTTTAAGGAATATAAATGAAATAAAAATGCACCATAGTCTGAAATAAACAGCCAATAACTTTCTCACCTAAACAACTAAGAATAGACCACACATCATTGTCTTCAAAGTACAAATCAAATGTTTCTGTGTTTTTAATTAGCTCCCTTGTAAAGCCAAAAATCATATTTGCCAGTGGGATTTCAGACACAAACACTGAGAGAGTATAGTTGAATTCCTATAAAAAGTATTATGACATTCACACTTAGTAGATTAATTTATAAATATAAAAACAAATATTTAAGGAATAAGACTAATATATAAATGTTTTATATATTTTGATACAGTGTTTTAAAGACAATTAAAGAAAATGTTTTAGGGTGCATTAGAAACACAGATAGTAACAAAAAATTTACTCACTAGTCTCAAAAGGTACTCAGCTATTAATATATTAATTGCCTGGTACCTATGTTCCAGACGTTGGGTAAAGTTCTTTTGGCATGGAGTAGTATCTCCTGAAATTCGTATTATTTAAAAAAATATTAACTGCATAAATTTGTGCTTACTTTAAAAAAAAACAATTTTAATAAAAAGGGTAAGGGTTTTCTATAGCTTCAAAACTATAAAAGATTTCAAGAAAAGCGTTTTTAAGAAAAAAAGGATCAATAAGCAAGTTCAAGTCTTTTTCGGTTAAAACATACAACGAAAAGTCATAAAATATTACCTGTATTAGCAGTTTTTAAAACATTAACGATATGACCACGCAAATAAGCTCGTAAGTCGTTTAAAATTCCATTTTTCTCAAATAACTCATAAATGAACTTTTGAAAGTTTTCTGGTGATTCTGGGCTTTTCGTTTCGGAATCGTTTAAAATTTGATGTTTCTCTGCAGTTTCTATGCATTCCATTTTGTATTAGTTTTCAATGTTTTTAATTTTCTTTACATGAAAATTTATTTGTAAATTTTAAAAATGTTCATATAACTCCGTTTGTAGACGTTTCCGGTTGCCATTAGCAACTTCACAGAACAAATTATTCCGATTCTAATTTCTAAACATTATCGCAGGTTCCAAAATATTTTTCCAACAAAATTAAATAAAATTAGCGATCCTTTGTTAATACCAATATATTTATTTATTATACTGTTGAAATATATTTTTTATTGTCATCTAAATATGCTACAGAAATACGCTCTCGATTACTATTGATAATTTTGTCTCCCTGCTATCAGTCCCTGTGGCGCAGAGGATAGCGCGTTGGACTTCTAATCCAAAGGTCGTGGGTTCGATCCCCACCAGGGATGCGTTTACATTTTACATGTTTTAATTATTATTTGAATTTTAAAAAACTTTGTAATAATTTAATTTTAACAAAACTGCCTTTTATTAAACTTATTTATGAGTGTTGAATAAATTTTTCATGTAAGTAAATTCAATTTTGGTTATAAGCAAAACAATTTGTTACATTGATAATTAATTACCTACTAAAAGTTTTATAATAAAACGAATTATTAATTCTATTCAAACAATGTTGGCTTAGTTATACCACTCATTACACAAAAGTTGCAGGGGCGCTTTGATGATGATGATTGAATTTGTCTCCGCCCCAAATAACCATCAATATATACTAAGTTTACATACATTCTTTAATTGTTGGCTTTGTTCTAAAAGTTTGCTGGGTCAGCTTGTATATTATAATAATATTTAAATAGGTAATTGTAAATTATACATTTAATGTATTGCTCCTTCTGCAATAAACTTTTGCTTTTGATGCTTTATCGGAATTTGACTATAAAATTTCTCACTTTTTTATATCTCTTTACAGACTAGAAAATTGCAAGCTTAGTGTTAAGACTTAAGTGTTATGTTTATTTTCCATGAAATTGTAATCCACTGTCTACGGAAATAAGTATATAAGTGACTGTTAGGCCAGCTATTGCTTAGCGTCGACTATTATTATTTGTTCTTTTTTACCCTCTTTAAAAAAAGATGGAGGAGGTTATCAATTCGACGTGTAACTTCGAGTCTAGAGTCTAGACTCTAGACTAACCAAACTTACTGAAAAGTAGGGATGTGAAAAAATAATCGATTATTAAAAGTAAGAGAGTAGTAAAAATCGATTTTTTTACGCGATTTTTATATTTAAAATAATCGATTAATAATCGATTATTTTTATAATTGAAAATCAATCATAGTAGGTTTTTCATCTGCCACCTCCTGACATTATGTCTGGTCTTTTATAACCCGGACCTCGAACTATTAGGGATATTCGATATACCTCGATGTTACAATGCGATGATAAAACCAGTTAATTTTACAAAAACTCAAGTTTGAATGGAACACTATAATTAAAAAGTAAAATAAATTTATTCAGCAGCACAAGATTACATACAATTAAAAAGACAGCAAAAATACTGCAATGTGCTACTGAAAAGGCATACACGCAGCATTTATCAAATTTCACCTAAAATCTATCAAAACGAGATTAAGTTAAGTTATGTAAAATCGATTATTTTTCAATTTTGATTATTCTTAAACGTTAATTTGTGTTTATAATTTCTATTGTTTATTTTTAATTTAAAAAACCATGAAAAATAAAATATTTAGACTGTTTATTTTGAAATTAATTCAAAAATTAGGAAAAAATCGATTAATAAAAAAAATCGATTATTTTTTTAAGAAAAATCGATTATGAAGAATGTCACATCCCTACTGAAAAGTGAAAACTGTAAAATTAAAAAATAAAAGTATAAATCAATCAGTAGAAGTCAATAGTCACCATTAAGAGTTGACAATTAACAAATTCACATTATTTTGTATTTTTAGATCTCTGGTACTAAATCTGAGTTTTAGATATACTGTTGTTTACATTTTCAATTATTTTGAGAAAATTGATCATATTTAGTATTTACTAAAAGAATAACAATGAGGCGACGAGCTGGTGTCGGTGCTATCCAGAAGCAACAGTTAGAACGAGAAAAGTATAGAGAAAAGGGTTCAGAAATTCAAGAAAATCAATTCTTACAAATGCAAAAGCAACTCGAGGTTTTCAGGGAAAATCTTGAAGAATTTGCAACAAAACATAAAAATGAAATTAAGAAAAATGCACAATTCAGAAGGCAGTTTCAAGAAATGTGCGCTGCAATTGGTGTGGATCCACTTGCTTCAGGAAAAGGCTTTTGGTCTGTGCTAGGTTTGTCATTTCTCATGTTTTTAAATTCCCAATCTCTTAATTGTTATTACTATTACGCATTTCAAATTTTTTTAAATGATTTGTTTAAAAATAATTTAAATGTAATCCACTGATTAAACCTCATTATAATAGGTATTGGTGATTTCTACTATGAGCTAGGAGTTCAAATAGTTGAAGTGTGCTTAGCTACAAACTACAAAAATGGTGGACTTATAACGCTAGAAGAATTAAGGACAAGATTAATAGCTGCACGGGGAAAAGCTAAGAAACATCAAGATATAACAAATGAAGATTTGTTAGCTGCAGTAAAAAAACTCAAGATATTTGGAAATGGGTACATATTCCTAAAAATAAAAAATGAAAAAGTCCATTGTTTTATTAATGATGAGGTTAAAATCTAATAAAGATTCTGCGTAATGGTTCATGATAATTATTTCAGATTTACTGTGGTTTCTATAGGGAAAGGAAAATGGTTAGTGCAATCTATTCCTGGAGAACTTAATCTAGACCAGACTTTAGTTCTACAAAAGGCAAGCTCCTTAGGAACTGCCTGGATATCTATAAGCATGTTAACTGGAGATTTAGGGTAAGTATGATGGTTGTAAAATACCTATATATAACGCTATTGGTAATCACGGTATAAGATTTAAATAATTTTAGTATTTTGTCAGAGCCAAAGTGATTTAATTAGTATTTTTAGGTGGAATGAAACAAGAGCAGAAAATGCTCTCAATTACATGGTTAAGGAAGGTCTAGCTTGGGTGGACAACCAGGACCCTAAAGAGACTCTATTTTGGTTCCCTAGTATGTTTTCTGACTGTGTTGAGGCTGCCGCGGCATCTTAAATATAATGGTAAAACTGTGATTATAATCAAATTGAAATAAACATTTAGTAACTTAATGTGAGTATGAAATTGTATTTACTATTATTCTACTGCTATTATAAAAGACTGTATGAGTTCAGATTCTGTTTGCTTTCTTTAATTTGAAATAAGATTATTTTCAATATTTTTTAAAATTTTGGTATACTATAGATGGTTCTATAGTAATACACTTTGAAATTAAATACTTTATATTGTTGTTATATCAACTATTTCTTCAGTATAATTTTAACATGAACTGGATTAAATTATTGTATATTGAGCACCATTATAACTAAAGTACTCATAATACGACTGTCGCATCATGTCTAATCTTTCTAATATAAACTTAGAGGAAGTTGTAAGGTGACAAATCCATTTTAACTGATGTAGTTTTTATACTTCAGAAAGGGGGTTAAATCTACACAATAAATTTTTAATTTGTTTGATTGTATAAATGTAAATATTTTAAGATAATGTGTTGTATCTATTTATTGCTCACAAATGTAAACTATGAAAATAAAAAACTTGAGTTACATCTGGTTAAATTTTATTATTGCACTTTTGTATTATAATATAGTGTTTTATTTGTACAGATTAATGTATACTTTACAATTATAGCTATCATATCAGCTTGCCTTTATTCAAGCACTCAACTACAAAGAAAATTTTAATAAAAATTATTCCAGTGGTTTACTGTACTGGCTCACAATAAAGATGTTGACTTTTTAGTATCTAACTCTGGTGGTTATTCCCAGCAGAAAAGCTTATAGATAAAATTTAGGAATGGACACTGCACAATGATTAATAATTGTTAGTTTTAACTGTTAATGCTATCAGTTGAACTGCTGCTATGAGGTAGATTTAGTTGTATCCTTAATTCTTTGTTCTCCTTGTACAATGCTTCAAGTTTCTTCTTTAATTTATCAGTCATATCTAGATATGATTCCTTCCATCTATAATTCAGGTTATGAATTTTATGTTCACCTCCATGGCTTAGTGGTTAAAAAATCCTCTTAGACCAGCAAAACAGTAATTGTTCAGGGTTGGCAAGGACAGAAAGTAAATTCTGATTATTTCTTCTTAAAGTAGTTGGGGTGTAACAGGACTTCCAGCTTTATAACTTTTATTTATGATAGAATTAATGGACTTAATAAGTAAAAAATAATGGATGACAATGAATAAAACCCTTGAATGTCAAAATGTTAATTCTAACATGCAATGCCATTAGGCTTGTACAACGATTTAGCATAATGAGGGTAATGGGTAATTTGCTTGAAACTGATTTCTTCTGTGCAATCGTCATAAGAAATAATAAAACAATATATGATGAAGTGCAAGTATGTTATGTAAATGAAAACAGTGGATTTTTAGAGAGCATCTCTATTCCTATTTATGAAATCTCTTATCCTCAGATACTTACTTCTTGTTAAGTTCCATTTGATTTTCTAAATGTTTATTTAATTCCAATAGTTCTTCTTCTTTAGTTGATACCATTCTGTCAAAATATTGTTTATTAACTGCCTGCCCTACATAATCACCTAATAATATTAGGTCCTTACATATGAAATTGGCGTATTTCGTACTGGCCACTTTAATCACGATGTTCTCCTCTTTGGTAAGGAATTCCAAATTCAAATTTGTACAGCTATTTACTCATGTATTTGTGCTTCGATGACCGTCATTCATTTGTTTTTTTCTGTTTGCGTCACTCATTTTAATGGAAAACTTAAAGTATCGCATTATTTACGAGTACGAGTTCCGCCGTGGCACTAGTGCTGCGGAAACGACTCGAAGGGTGAATGATGTGTATGGCGCGGGCATGTTGCAAAAGAAAACACAGTTCGTTTTTGGTTCCAACGTTTTCGTTCTGGAAATTTCGACCTGCAGAACAAGCCTCGTGGACGGCCTGAGACCCAAGTTGATAATGAAGTATTGAAGGCTATTGTGGAAGCGGATCCATGGCAAACCACGTCCGATTTAGCTGCAGGCTGCGGTGTTAGTGATAAAACTGTTTTAATTTACTTGAAGCAAATTGGGAAGATTAAAAAGCTTGAAAGATGGGTACCTCACGAATTGACTGAAGCAAACCGGGCAAACGCGCGTCGACTGCTGCGTTACATTACTGAACCGGCACAATAATGAAGGTATTTTAAACCGAATCATTACCTGTGATGAAAAATAGATTCTTTACGATAATCGGAAGCGCTCAGCGCAATGGTTGGATCCTGGCCAGCCAGCCAAATCCTGCCCCAATCGAAAATTAACCCCAAAAAAGTTACTTGTAAGCGTTTGGTGGACTAGTGCCGGTATTGTTCATTGCAGTTTTCTCAAATCTGGCCAGACTATTACGGCTGATGTCTTTTGTCAGCAATTGCAAACCATGATGGAAAAGCTAGCGGCTAAACAACCTAGGCTGGTCAATCGCTCCACGCCACTGCTACTTCACGACAACGCTAGACCGCACACTGCACAACAGACGGCTACCAAATTAGAAGAGCTTCAATTGGAATGTCTAAGACATCCTCCATACTCCCCGGACCTTGCTCCAACAGATTACCATTTTTTTCGAAATTTGGACAACTTCTTGCAAGGAAAAAAAATTAACTCTGATGGGGCAGTCCAAATCGCCTTCACAGATTTTATTGATTCCCGTCCGACTGTTTTTTTTAGTAAAGGGATCAATGAACTACATATGAGATGGCAAAAGTGCATAGAAAACAATGGTTCATACTTTGATTAATTAAATATATTATATTTAAGAATATTCGACTTTTTGTTCCTCCCATACAAAACGCCAATTTCATATGTAAGGACCTAATATAATATAGGTAACATAGATTTAAAAACACTACTTTAGGCTTAGCTGTGTCCTTGATGACATCATATTTTGGAGTTTATTTATCATTCCATGTGTCTCGTTTAGGGATTTTTGGAGATGCTCCACTTGAATTCTGAAATTTTTTATATAGTATATATATATATTGTTAAGACAAAAATACACAATGTTCTGAATATAAAATTTGATAGTCATTTGTTTTATTGAACATGTTATTGATAATGCTGCGGTATTATTAATGCCATATAAATTTCCTCATCCTTATGTCTCTCTTAATCACAGTGTAAACACAATTGACAGAAAGAGACGAAAGAGTCCTTAGTTAAAGAATGGAAGTTTAATGAATAAAGGAACAAATCAGCATAATAGTTTTCTTAGTTTGGATAAACATCTGCATCTTTTTTACTAGAGCCCCAGAGGTTTTTAAGTTATTTAGTATAAGTGTAAATGTTATGCAACGCCGGACTCCAGCATGTACACTCGTATAGCCACTACGAGAAAATTTCTATAATGATTTGAAAGAGCTCCGGTTGTACCATCCTAAATAAATATGCTAAAAAATCAAAATAAACCGAGAAATAAATATAGCATTTTAAAATAATAAATAATAAAAAACCCTTAATTTTTATTTTATTAGTATAGATATAACGCAAATAAATCTTACTTTAATTCCTCACACTGAGTTTTCAATAACTTCTCTTCCCAGTCCCTCCGTTTCGTTTCTCTTGCAAATGTATCCTGAATTCTTTGTATGTCCAAAGCTAACGTCTGCTTTTCGCATACAAGTTGCATATTACGCCGCTCTGAACATAACTAAAGAAATGTAATTTTAAAAATATGCGACTACATACTGCATTTATGTTGTATTAGTGGTGACTGGTGTATCTACTTCAATGAAAACAAAAAAGTTTTATTATATTATATATATATATTCCGTCCTCAAAATAGTCTTTCCCACAATAGACGTATAAAAGACAATATTATCGTTGGAAAGAAAAAAAAAATTACGCTACAGACTATTAGACAGTTTTGTAATATGAATTCTGAAACTATAAAAAATTATAACATTTAAATAGTACAGTTCCTCCATCCTAAAAGAGGCTCCTCGACCAGCCTGACCACGAAATGGCCGGCCCGGAAAACCCCAATGTCGAGTCTGTCGAGAATGTCGAATCGTTATAAATAGGTACGATAATCCCTGTATTTGTAATTGCATCCGGAATCTTTATATTACTAAATAACTTCTTTTTATACTTACCAGTTCCTGAAACATGGTTTCAAGTTTTTGTTCAGCGACCGCCAGCTTCGGATCTACGAATTTGGAATTCTCACTTTGTTGCTTTATCATGTTCTCATTACTCGTTTGTAGAATTTTGATTTCCCTAAAATTGTATCAGAACTATAACGCATATGAAGGAAAGAAAACAATTTTGCGAATATTTGGAATAGAACTTAAATAAGAACATATAACAAAAAAATATGCACATTTAAAATACCAGTAACAAAATTTGGTGTATCCACTCAGGCGATATCAATATTTAATTTTAGATACTGTACCGTAAAGCTTTGTTCAATAAAAGTCCCTTTTCGACGAGCTCCGAGTCCAAATTCCTGACGTGTTCAAGCATATCGGTTACTTTCTCGTTGTACTTTTCCTTCACATCATCAAGTTCTGATTTGAAACTCTCTTCTGTCTCACGCTTTACTGACGCTAGGGCAAGTTTTAATTTTGTCACTTCCTCTGAAATATTTTATATTTCAAAAGTATAAAAGATTTCCTTGGGGTCGTTCAAGTATTACGCAATTTATCCCCCCCTCCTCTTGTCAGAAAAGTACGCAAAGCTCCCAAAAATAATAATACATAAACGTATTAATTTTTTTGTACGAATCCTCGAAAATGCATTTCGTTTTCAAGTATAGACAATTTGTGGGTAATATGTGTAAAAAAGTCAATAATTACTGTTGACGTAATCACCAAATAAGAAAATCAAAGACCCACACACCCCCCTGTAGTGCTTACGTAAAAATGTTAAAACATTAATTATTCTTAATTTGTTAATAGACTTCTGTCAAAACTTCTTTTTACGATTAAGTAATAAATGACCTACCGACTTATTTATTTTTTCCGCATCTACTATGTACTCTTTATTTTTTTCTATCAAGTGAACGTCTTATTACAAAAATCGAACCCAAGTCCTTTGAAATAATCTAATATATTATAAAATTCTCGTGTCACAATGTTCGTTCCCATACTTCTCCGAAACGGTTCGACAGATTCTTATGAAATTTTATATTCATATTCATTAAGTCTGAGAATCGCCTACTATCTATCTTTTAAACCCCTAAGTGATAAGGGATGTCTACCCCAAAAAAATATTTTTTAATATTTAAATTTTTTATGATACATCATATAAAAATACATACTGCCCCTAATTTTCACCCCTCTACGATCAACCCCTTTTTTTATTTGTTAGTTAAAATCTTAGACTTGAACTCTGAGGTTTATATAGAGAAAAATTCCAGAAAACCGAACAGTCTCTGGGGTAGCAATGCAAAATGTTCCATGTTGGTATGTATGTACGATGTTCGCGGGGCAGCTAGCAGCGCTATAAAATATGAATACTTTAACACTTACGTGTCATTTCATATATGCTTTTCAATGCTTCATTTTTCTGAACAGTTACAAGGTCAAACAACTGAAGTGCTTCGGCCACCTAAAATATATTGAATCTATAGCTGTAACAGATATTACAGATCTTCTTCTTTGACGTAATAATCACTGAGGCTACCATGTACATCAAACAGGTATTGCTCTATCACAGTTATTTTTTTATTCAGTTTGAATCAGAATCTATCAGAATACTTACCTTTGCTTTCGCTTCTGCTTCCTTCTTCACTCTATCAATTGCATCTCTTTGACACATCGCTAGTTGATTCTTTATATCTTCATTAGTTTTCTTCTCTGCCATTAAATTAATTTTATATTCTTCTAGTGCTCTTTTTGTTTCTTCTGCTTTAATCTCAAAATCTTTACATTTCTCTTTAAAACCTAGAAGTTCTCTTTCCTTATGTTTTATTTCCGATTCATAATTATTGCACTCTGCAGATATTTTCTTGTAATTTGTTTCTAATTCAACGTAATCGGATAAAGCAGTTTCTAATTTTAATTCTAATTCCCGATTTTCATCTTTGAAATTCTGAAATGATTAAATTTGAGCAAAAAGTATTCATCGATTCACTGAAACCATTCTACTGTTTTTAAAACCAATTTAGATGATTTTAAACCTAAAAGTATTAAATAGGTGTTCAGATATTTTATTTAAAGCAGATCAAGAAAAGTCATCGTGGCTTAAACTTCTAATGCGCCTGCTAAAAACTTATAGCAAATATTGGATTTTGTAAATGACGATGTCATGTTCAGTTTACGCAAGTATAATTTTTTTGAACTAGGTTTGAATGTCGAGCAATTGAGAAGGATATATTTTAATAACGTTAAATGAAAAAAGTAAGATCATGAATATATACTTACCAATTTTCCAACTCTGTTGTCGTAGTGTTGGTAAGTCTTTAGTTCAGTGTCCAATGCTTCTATTGTCTTTTGAGATGTCTGCCAGAGGACGTGAAGAGAATCTCTTTCCTGAAAGTGTCAAAATCGAAATTTATTATGTATTTAACACTTTATTCAATTATAAATCCAGAACTATGAGAACATTGTATTAATAAGGAGGGCGGCATTTACTTAAAAAGGCGTTTACGATGTTTTTCAACTGTATATCCGACCAATACTGTAACTTGTTGCGTAACTTTAAATTTTGTTTCATCGACGATAAACTTGTTTCCCACCAAAACTACACCCGTGGGTTTATAAGTTGTTTCACATATAAGCATGAATACATCGTATAAGCAGAAGTCCTGAATTTGAGTATCGTCAAGACGATAATTGTTTAAAGAGAATCATCAGTGAATGAGGCGAAAAATTAGTTTGCACCATGTCTTACTTAGAAAAAACAATGAGGAGGTAATGAGAGATATTCATTAAGTTCAAGTCTCAACTTAAGAAAATCAGTCTATTGATTTACTTTTGATGGTAGACTGTTTACCTTTGTAAGAAAAGCAACTTGTCTGCTCAAATCTTCTAACTCATGGCTTTGTTTGTTATCGTGGCTCTCTTGCGCATACTGTAACTTCTCCTTCAGCAGTGTACCAACCTGCTGCGATAGCTTCTGATTGTCAGCTATCAATGTTCTTATCTCTTGCTCTACGGCAGCCTGGTTTTGCTGAAACCAGACTACATAAATTATCATAGAAATATACAGAATGTTCTTAGTTGATTTTTACCTTGACTTTAGCTAACATACAACTTTACATGTGTTTCGATACTTAGAGCATGTGTTTCAAAGTTTTTATTATATATTTCAACTTAGTTTTCGATTCGTCAAATTTAACTTGATTGCGGTAATACTTTTTTCATAATAGTCTCAATGTTTTTAAAATCTAAACCACAACGCACAAGGTTTACCACATGCATTGGAATGAACGAGGCTTAAATAAATTATTCTTTAAACTCACCCTATAGAAATCCAGCTCAGATTGTAAGTTTTCGATGGAAACACTCTCCATATTAATCTAATTCTCATAATTATATATGTAACAAAAATGATTACAAAATATCTTGAAAATAGGTTATGGTTTACATTTCGCGGGTATGTTTGTCATGCGTTGCTAAGCAACCAAGACAAGGTGTTTCTATAATTAGATGGAGGCGACACTAAATAAAAATAATTTTTAGACCTTACACAATACTTTTTTTTGGTTTTATCCCTAAACAAGTTGTTACAGAAGCTGTTTTTGTATATAATAAATGATATGTGCACGTTTTCGTTTCTCCTAAAATGAAGGCTACTAAATCTTGAGAATTTACACATTTATTATGGCAACTTTTAAGTTTTGTTGTCAAAGTCAGCTGTTAAATGTTTTGCTACAACTTAAAAAAAATCTGGACGCCGATATTGAAGTCGTAATTATGTAAACAAACGTTTAATAATGACTGTGAATACTTTCGGTAACTTTATTTTGTCTAAATCCAATTAATATGTCGACAAGGTAATTGTGGTAACATAATAAGTATTATTATTTATATCTACATAACTGTGTGCTTCATTTACACCTAATTTATTTTTCGTATTAAGAATGCTTCAATGTTTTAAGATTATACTTTGATATCGAAGAGCATCAGTGGCCATTAGTTTATGATGATAAATACAATGTTTCGTTTTGCGGATTTGAAAGATTCCATATATTCGACGCAAAGAAATGGCGTAACATAGTTCAGGTAAAATTCCCATTAATGTCAGGTTTAGAGAATCGGTATATCGCACGGATTTAAAAATACGTTGATTATTGTAGTTTTTGAAAGAGGCCAAATTTATAAGTGCCGACTGTCTTGTGAAACCAAAAGAAGCCAAGGAAAATGATTTGATTGTGGTTCATACAAAGAAATATCTGAAATCTTTAAAGGTAAATATTGTAAAATAAAAGAAATACTTACAGATTATTTGAATACAAATATTTACTTAAATTTTCAGTGGAGTGCCAAAGTTGCAATGATAGCCGAAGTACCTATAGTTGCTTGTGTACCAAATATACTGGTGCAACATGCTTATTTGAAGCCTATGAGGTAAGTTTTGGTACATCAAAGATATTTTTTTATTTTACAAGTTAAAGTTACTGTAAAATATGTTTGCAAAAACACATGGTAAAGGAAAAAGTAAAAATTACATTAATATTAAAGTTTTAATAAGAGTTTCTTTGCTCTTTAGGTTACAAACAGGTGGATCTGTGTTAGCTGGTAAACTTGCTCTCGAGCGTGGGTGGGCAATAAACATTGGTGGTGGTTTTCATCACTGCAGTGGTGATAAGGGTGGAGGCTTTTGTCCGTATGCAGATATCACTCTACTAATAAAGTATCTTCTAATGTATAGAAGTGTACAGAATGCAATGATTGTGGATTTGGATGCTCATCAGGTATGTTAAAATAGACAATGTGTGTTTTTAGTGTGTATTTTTTTTGTTGAAAAGATCCTGAATTGGTTTTATATAAAAAACAATAATTAACTATAAAGAAAATAAAAAAACATACCTAGTTTTAGAATTGACCCCAGTTTGGTATATGTGTTTTCGTCACACTTTAGGACATAAATTATATTTTGTGTCATACCTGTTTGGATAAATCAGTATTAGCTGAACTAATTTGTTCTTTGTCGAAAAATCTCAGTAGGTATATTAGAAAAAGTGTTTATATACTTCTTAGGAAGGGAAAGGAGGATGCAAGTACATTTAAGTAAAGTTATAACATCACTTCACACCGGTTTCAGTAGGGATTAACAAAAAGTAACAGTATTGTTAAATCCCTACTACAAAACTTCTTAATTATTTTAGAATAAAGCTATGAGGAAGTAGCTGGCCAGATATTCTTGGGAACTTAATAAAAAGTCCTCAACACTTATGCTATAAGTATGTGTATGGACCGCTTGTGTAATATGACATATTATAAAAATTTTCAGGGTAATGGATATCAGCGCGACTTTCTAGGTGTCCCAGAAGTTTACATAATGGATATGTACAATAGACATATTTATCCTAAAGATGAGGAAGCAAAGCGAGCGATTCGAAGGAAAATAGAGCTTGGCAACAAAGTCGAGGATCTTGAGTATATGCTTAAGCTGAGAAAGTGTGTAATATTGTTATAATGTCATTTTTCCAGAAATCTTTATATATATAAATAACTACAATTTGTTTTATCATGCCATACGAATTACCTAAATTAATTAAACTAAGTTTTTAATGTAGTGTGTCTCTCAATATGGCATGGGACAAAGAAACATTCGCAAAGATAATCAGCCAATACTTATAAATGAAACTCAAGACTTAATATTCTTATTCAATTATGGCTTTACCACTGACCGCTGTGACGTTAAATTATCCATCAGGTTTTGTTTATATTACAATTGTTTCAGGAACTTAAAAGCGGCATTAAACGAATTTAAACCAGATATATTGGTTTACAATGCAGGCACGGACATTCTCGATTCAGACCCACTCGGTCACATGAGAATCAGTGATATTGTAAGTATAATTGAAGGCAGGCAACGCACTCGTGAGCCATTTGGTAATGTGAGTATCGGCGGACGGCGGTATCACACAACATCAGGTGAGCCTCCTGCCAGTTACAGGACATCTTTAAATATGTGATTCAAAATATTTGGGATATTTTATTTTAATACATTAGAGATTGTAAACACTATCACCGGATTAAAATGAGTCTAATAGTGAAATTATAATTAAATTAATTAAACTTTGTTGAATCGCTTACAAGATAAAAGGGCAGCCAACTTCTAAAAGGCCAACTACGCACTTCCGAGCTTCCGAGTAGTAAAATTGGCGTAAAAATTGTATTTATGAGTTAATTACATGAGTGATGGCGGGCGACATAGCTAGTAAAACTACTCTAGACGCTAGCATAATTCCGTCGTAATATATAATAATAGATAAAATAAACTTTCAATTAATAGAGCGCTACAGTACCGCGTTAAACCAAACAAACTTCAACCAACAAAACGATCTTGACTGGGTTTGTCATATGTAAATTTCTTTAATAACGTTTAAAAACATGTAATGTTCTAGGGTATAATCAAAAGGGACGAATTCGTCTTTGAGATATGCAAGTCGCATCAGATCCCAGTTGTGATGCTGACGAGCGGAGGGTACATCAGACGGACAGCGAGGATCATCGCGGACTCCATAATTAATCTGAAGGCTAAGGGTCTTATTGGTAATGAACCTGTATCCAAGAGTTGTGGCGATTAAGAGTATAAAACAGATATAGAATAGTTCTATATGGGAATTAAATTAGTATTTGATTAGTCTTATTAAAAGGTTTTTAGTAAAACAGTGTAATAAGACTGTTTTTATAATTATGGAAATTAATCTTTCGTATATTTAAATATCTCTAATATTATTTTTTAATCAATAGTTATGGAATTAAAAAAAATTGTTCTGTGCACAAAGCCTTCATTAAATACAGAATTTAAAATTTTATAGTTTTTAGCATGGGCCTAATTATAATTAACTTAAAATGTATTCGAATATTTATATGTATTAGCTTATCAATAATATACAATAAGACCGTAGGATATATTTCAAAAGTATAAAAAAATTGAAATTTTATTAATCTTGAAATTAGTACAAATCATAATTAAATAGAAAAGAGAAATAGATTTTATAATAAATTTGAAGATCGCTTCAATTTAAAAAAGTTAAAAAAATACGCGAGCAGTGTTGAGCTATATTTATTTCTAACAAATTTTGGGCTGTGCTGAAACGTTAAATTAAAAAAAACTTTAAGGTGTTATTTTTGTACTTCAATGATTAAATTTTTCGGTTTATGAAGTATACACAGCCAAAATAAAGTCTCAAAACTTTTGTTAGCAAAGCTTTTTTTTGGATTTTGTAAATTATGGATGTATTAATACCATATGCTGGGTACCAATAAAGCAAAATATTATATTATTCAATTATTAGCTTTAGGTAGTATTTTGAATGTGATATAAATGATCTCAGTGTGCCAAACTGAAGCAAATTTAATTTGCAATATACATTTCATTAAATTAAATTGTAATATTCTTAATAAATATTTATTGTCTATAACACTTGTTTCATTTATATTTACCAGGTGAGTTTAAATAAATTTATCCTTTGACCATGAACAATTTAATAATAAACAAAACATTGCATATTGCATTCACAACAATTTTGAAGCCACTCACTAAAAGTAACAAAATAATTCTACTAAAATGTTGCCATATTTATCTCGTGGTAGTGTTAAACTGGGAGTAGTAATCGTCAGTTGGAGTGTTGTTGTAGACCACTTCTTTGTAGTATTTCTCTTTCTCTTTTTGCTGAAGAGCCATCAATTGATTTTCCTCCATAAGCTGGCGAGCGATCTCCCTAAAATATATTATTATTTAAAATGGTAATTCTGTTTTTTACCTAAATAATCAGTATTGTTACATGTTATAATTGTGGCAATTAGAACAAAATTTTAGAAAAAAATCAGTTGGTAACCCTACAAAAATACAACGATACTAACTTGAAGCGCAGTATTATTAGAGAAAAGCACGGATGGAGAATGGCTTTTCTTTAAATTTCCCGGTTCTGTAGATAATCGGTTATAATGTCAAAGACAAAGTTTGGACTCCGCTATGTATACCTTCTCTTTCGTTGGTCAACGATGTCCTGAGCCGCCACCTCTCGTTGTATGGATTTTGCGAGCGCCTGCCATTCTGCTTCCATCTTTTCTTCACCTTCGCGTTTTGCCTTAAATTAAGTGGTGAATTAAATTTTTATTTTACGATTGTAATGTGTATTGAGAAATAACTACACAATCAGTGACATTAAAATAAAATAAAGTAGTTAAATACTAGACTAACATTGCATTAAGTAATAAGTCTACGAGTGAGAATTGACAAAATAACCACTGTCCATAAAAAAATGTTGTGTGTGGCCTACAGATAAAAACACCTAAAAAAATAAGTTGTATATTGTGCATGGTAATTTATAAACCTTTGCGGCAGCCATTTGTTCTTTTTGCGCTGCATAAAATTTCTTCAACTCTTCCTGATTCATCCCCTTGTACATGAAGCCGATGGCCCTGTTAAGGAATAGTAATTACTACGAATAATGAAATAATTCCTTTCATTAGAAACTCGTCAATGTAGTCAGCCATGGAGGTGGTTTCTCAGGTAAGTTAAAACTTATTATTAAAGTTAAAGCCAGTCTTTTAATACAGTATTTAAATTGATTTAGTTCAGTATAAGGGGGTTAGAGCCTGAAGTCTGACATGATGTTGAATTTCAAATAATGAAAGCATAAAAGTGACAAAGTAATCTACATATAAAAAAGAATAATAAAACAATTTCATAAAAAGGCAGTTATAAGTCAGTTACTTAAGTAGCCTCTAAGTGCCGGGTCAAGTGACTTGACCTACTTGTACTTAGAACAAAATTCGTAATTCGCAAAGTACTTAATACGAGTACAACCTGTTCTTCCCGAGGGCACTCTTGGCGACGTCAGGGTTCTCAGTGAGCATATCCGATGTTAGGTTGTTGTACATCTCAGCCGTGTTGTCGGCTTCCTCTTGCTCTTTCATTATTTGCTCTAGCTGTTTCTTTTCAGCTGCCTGATGAGTTTAAAAGACGATGTAACCAATGCATTTACAGCATACAAATTTTATGAGAAACCAAAGGTTTTTATTGTTATTTTGTCACAGAGATAATGTTTAATTTAGCAATATTTGTATTGACAAGGAACTTTATTGTCTTTATCTGAAACTGTTTTATATTGTGTATTCACCAATGCTTCGTTGTACCGTAGGTTGGCCTGTCCCAGTCGATATCGACACTCTCTCTCCAGTTTATCTAATTCACTCGCGCGCGCGTCTCTTGCTTTAATCGCCATCTGGGGAAAAATCATGTCTCGTTAATAATTTTCTATTTATTCCTTCCGGTTTTCATTTCAAATTTCATTAATGCACGAATTCTTATCGTACAGAAAGAATAATTGATACATAATATATGTGTAGTAGAAGTCCAGGACTTGTAACATTACATATTTAATACAATACTTATATAAAGTTTTACCATATAGGCAGCTTCAGCGGCTTTCCTCTCTTCCTGTGCTGCCTTTCTCTCCTGCACCTGCTGTTCAAGCCACGCATTCTTCTGTTCCGCCATTATTTTCTTTCTTTCCTCGTACTCCAAATCTTCACCTTCAAATCTGGAAAAATCCCAAGAAAATCGAATAAATAGAATAGAATCGAAATAAATTTAATATTTATTTCTAGAGGTAATTCTTGAGCTTGGGAAAGGTGTTAATCCTGTTTTATTATCAAACTAGCGGTCACGACAGGCGTTGTCCTGAACACACGTCTTAAATACACAAAACAAACAGGCAACGGACTTGCGAGCCTTCTGTGAGTGCCCCTTAACACTTATTATCACATAACATCCTGCCCGTTTGATAACTGTTCTATAAAAAAAATGTCTTGATGTAAATTTAAACCAAACTCGAATCCACTTGAACGCAAAAGAATCGGTTCGGTTTAGAAGGAGTTTAATTACAAACACTTGCGGAAAAGATATATCTTTATATATACATAAAGATATGTGAAATAGCAAACAGGAGTCCAGTAACCAATAATATTACTATTGTAATGTAAAATTGTTGTAGTCGATGTACCTACGTTTTATTTTCATTGACACGGTAGCCTATTTTATTACGTAAATATTAAATGTAATTTGCAGAAATAATTTGCTAATGTTTATTTATGTTTTTGGTTAAGTTAATGGAATAGACAATAAAGGTTTCAATTTACACACATTGCACCTGCTGACACCTGTCCATAGACGGCAAATGGCACTTTGTTCTACTTAGAACGTGCGTGCTTATTAGCTCCTGTCTCAGAAAAAAACCTACTTCTGAGCGCTAGACATCCCCACTGGTTCCCCATCAGACGCTCTCGGCGGCAGCTGAACTTTCAACACATCAGGGTTGTTGAGATCGTACTCTCTGCGATCTTCCAGTCGTTGGTAATTCTTTCGGAACTCGTCTATTTCTACGTTAATGCGGCGCCGCTCCTAGACATAAAATAAAATATGTAGCTTAGTTTAAATCCTTGAAAGGTTGATTATAAGTCTCCTAAGGTCCTTCTAATGATAGTGTCGGTTTGTAAACACATTTACCCACTTGCCTTAATAGTGAGTATTAAGGGAAACGAACTAATGTTCGTTATAACTAACTTTTGCGCCATTTGCAATACAACTGACAATTCATTTCCATTTCAATACCTCTTGTTCCCGTGCTTCAAGTACCACCGCTAAATTGCTGTCTTTGATCATTTGTTTAGCAAAGGCAAGATTATTCTTCTCCTGTTCATCTCTCTCAACTCTTTTCTCAGCCACCTGCCGCTCCAAGAACGGTAGGTCGATCTGTAATTTTATAATGTTGGAACTTTGGTGGTTGTATTGGTCTTGTACCAATGCTTCCAGCTTATAATAGTCACGGGCTGGTTTGTAAATTAGTAGGGGAATACAAATTATAATCTATCATATTAAAATTGATTTTTGTAGTGTTTAGATTGTGAGAGTGGGTAGTTTTATGTGTTATTAATCCTTTAGGTTGTTCGTAAATCGTAATACCTACATATTTTTATTTTAGACAATTTTGCTGAGGGTGATAAATAATTTTTTGACACGGCCGATCGCCGCTTTTTTTTTATTTACTTTTGATTCCCGTTAGTTTTGTGTATAACGTAGGTTTGACACACTTGAAACCGCGTCAAATTTTCCAATTTTATTGATTGATTACGCCCTCAATTATATAATATCTTGTGAGTGCTTGTGCGTGTTGTGAGCTATTTTGCTTAAAGGAAAAGTATGTGTTATATTATCAGTCTAACCTCTTCCATTGTTCTTATCTTAGTTATTCCCTTATCGTAGGACTGACAATTGTGTGCCTGTTTTTGTGATGTCAAGGATATTTCGTATGTATTAGGGCTTTGTATTTATTGTTAAAAAGTATGAATCAACAGTAATGGAAACGTTCTTTGTGATACACGTTTTATTCGATAAAACCACATATGATGGTGGGTAGTGTAGAGTGTGAGATTGAGTATGACTCAATCTACAGAAAAAGGTAAGAGAAGACGAAACGCGTCTCGAAGTTAATGGTCGCAGTAATGGAGTGGAACAGGTTTCCGAGATCTTTTATTTATTAATTAATGGAATAGCAAAAATTGTACTTACACCAATCTTTCGATTTCGAGCATTGAAGATCCTTGATCTTCTTTCCAACTCGCATTGTCTCTTTCTCTCTCTATTTTGGGCTTCTTTCCTGTCTTGTTCGTTAGATATCTGAAGTTTCATCATTTTTAATGCGAATAATAATCAGCTAAAAACACCAAGTCAAAAATATTTCTACAAATGATCCAACAACGTATGTTGTCATGGTTACCAGTGATCGATTAAGAATTAATCTTAGAACGTGAAATGATTAACGAGTTTCGTTATATCTTATACTTGGGAAATAACACTTGGTAGGCACCTTAGTTTAGTTGTAGCCTGTCTAAAACTGATCAATGTAAGATTCAGTGATGTCTCTGTCAATGCCTCATTCTTTATGCGAGCTTGAAACCAAAAGATTTAGTACGTACACAACGTACGAAAAAAAATAAAAGGGAAAATCGACTGACGAGAACGAAAGTGAAGATAATTTGGTAGAAATTAAAAAACTGGCAACATCGCGATCTATGTGGCAATGTGCGTAGTGTTAGCGCGCGAGCCGCGATCGGCGATACGCCGCCGCGCTTAAGTTGAAGTGTGAACTCGGTAGAATACGGACGTTAGTTAGACAAGACTTATTTTTCATAACCTTGAATTGACGTAGACGTAATACGCGCGTGTTTATTTTCTATTAGTGTTTTTTAAGTGTTATTTTGTTTATTTTTAAATTTTAAATTTGTTATTGTGTAATGTGACGGTCTGAGGTGACGGCATGACCAGTGTATTGAAAAAATCTAGAGGTACCAAAGGTAAATCGGAATCAATGCAAGAGGATTTACCCTCAAGATGGAGTGTCTCCCAGGGACACAGAGCCGAAGATGCAGCAAAACTGGTCAAATATATTGATGACAACGTTATTGGCAAAGGGAACTCTTTTTGTGGGCCGTTCGGACGCAGAAAAGGTAGGTTCTCGGTAAACTCGACTTTTGTATAAATTATCTTTTTTCTTATAAATAACCCAAGATTTTATAATCTTTGTTATTAAATCAAAAAGCTATTGTTGAATTCGTTTCCGCATAACAGCTGGTGTATGATACTGATAAATATTCCGAGGCTGAAACACTCATTGTTTACGTGTTCCGAATCAAATGTTTATCACATTTATTTTTCTATTAGCGCAATAAAATTCTGTTCTATCTAGCCATATATTTCCATTATTTACAACAAGGAACAAGAAAGAAGAATGAAGACTTATGTTTTTTAAAAATTATCAATTAAATAATCTACATATAATATTATATACTTATTATTTGCTGCCGAAAATGTTTTCTCAATAAATTCTAGGTCTTATTATTATAAGAAAATGAAGATAGTGCTAAAAAATCATATAATAAAACTATTTTTAAATTAATTGTAAATGTAATTTACATTTCAGTAGTAAACATAATATAGGTTGGACTATATATTAACGTAAAAGTACTAGCAAACAATTAGGGAATTTCTTATCTATGTCACGCAAAAAAGGAAAATTTTACAGATTAAAAAAAAAGACGCCATTACGATTAACTCACAGTAAATTTTAAAAATAGAATTCAATTTACATAATCATTATCAGAAATACGCCCTTGTGTAGAGTGTGAGTCGAGGCGGCTTAATCGCGCGTTGTCGTTCGAATTGTTTGGCGATCAATTAATTATTACACATGCGACACTGGCATATTATTTTATTGTTTTTCGTTTATTGTTTATCGATTCATTATTCTTATTAAGGTTAGCAAGTATTTGTTTATAGGTGAGGCTAAATAAATATTTTAGCTTGGTTACTAGTCTGTGGAGAACTAATACGACTACGCTTTTGGATTTATTTATAATTTATCATATATTTTCTTTTGTGGCTCGGTGAGCTAGATGTCTCAAACTATGTACTACATAGAGTCTTTGTACACACGGACTTATTACGGTTTGTGGCTTTGCTCTGAAACACTTGTTTCTTTCATTGGTATAGGCGATTAAATAGAATTAAAAAAAAAAAAATAACTTGAAAGTGTATATTCAAGGGGCATAAGGTTTCTATGAAGAAAATATTTTGGGATGACAGTGCCAAAATCCCTATTAATATAGTGATGTAACAATTACAAACATATAGTCTGTATGTTGTGTTTGCTTAAAGATACAAAGAGAAATGGCAATATATTCCTATGTCGTTATCAGAGTGTGTCGAAAATAAGTTTCTTGCATTCTTCCATATTCAATGTCATGGTAAGGCTTTTTACACTTGAATTTTATCAGCGTAACGCTAAAGATATGTTTAAGTATATAAACAGTGGAGTAATATCGTCTATGTCATGTGTCAGTTAACATATATAGTTTCTATAATACCGTAGTTTTGTTTGTTTCAATAGATTTGCGATTAGACACTTGTTGCGATATATTTAATAGTTATCTAAATATATAGAATTTATTGGGTATTAAGTTTTGACAACTTATATCTTGTATTATTTGATTTGATAAATCCGGGGGTTACTTAAGGTTTCAGTAAAGGTTTGCGTCTCGGAATGGAAACGAATAACCGTCAAAATGGCATCTATCATAGGTCTTGTATAGAAATGCCCATTTTATTTAGGAGTTCGGTTACAAGGTCTGTATTGTAGGTTATTTTGAATGATTTGTTGCTATTATTGGTGAGTGCAAAGACACGATAAGTACAGGGGGTAATATCAACTAAAAAATATATAAAAATACATATTTATAGATATAAAAATATTATAAGGTTGTGTTTTGGATGTCGTTGGCAATCACTGCTTGTAATATTAGGAACATTGTTACGGATAAAATCGTCATCTCCTGTATATAATACCACCCAAGAATTTGCAGTTAAACCAAAAAAATACATCTTAATCATCAAACATAGTAATTCAAAGAAAAATTGTCTGAGCAATTATCAAATTAATAAAACATATTTCATAATATAAATCGGTCTACAGAATACAACATACTTCTTCGTGTACTCTGAAGTCGTTATGTCTTTAGACATCGCAGACTGATACTATTTTATAGTAATAATAATTTACCGTACTTCTAATAACATTATTATTCTAATATGTCGAAGTAATAAGAACACGAGATTCTTATTCTTGGTCCACATACAAATCAACGTAAGATTAGTTTTTTTTATATTAACAACATGTAACTGTAATATAAACTGCTTACCATATATGATTTCAAAAGCTTTGTAAGCAAAAACGCTTACAAAAAATGCTTCAGGTTATTCAACTTGACATTCGAGCCTTTCCATCATAAAAAGTTGGGAGAAAGGCGTTCACTCCATCGAAAAAACAGGTTCCACTTCCCTTGACGGGGAAAAGACGCGTGATTATAATTATGCATCGTTTTTCGTTTTTATTTCTGGAACTCATACAAAATTAATCAGTGGCGCTACCACCTTTTTAGGACCTCATATTTTTGTATCGTTTTTTCTGATTATTTGTCAATCTAATAGGCAAGTAGGTGGTAAGCCTCCTGACACAGGCTGTCGACTTTTTGGGTCAAAGGCATCACCCACCCCGCATACACACCCTTACATTCCCCTCACTTTCACACCATCGCATAGCACAGCCTAAATATGTATTTTTTATTTACCAGTGGCGCTACAACCTCTTTAGGTCTGGGCCTCAGATTTCTGAATCTGTTTCATGGTCATTTTTCAATCTAATAGGCAAGTAGGTGATAATCCTCCAGTGCCTGACACACGCCGTCGACTTTTCGGGTCTAAGGCATGTCGGTTACCTCACGATGTTTTCTTTTACCGTTCGAACGAATGTTAAACGCGCACATAGAAGAAAGTCCATTGGTGTGCACCAAGGTCGGTCGTAGGTTCTCAGGTAGTCTGTACAGCCGGAGATCGAACTCAGGGATGATTGTTGCACGCTGCCTAGCATTGTATGCTTATAAAATAGACAATTTTTTCCTTAATTAGAGATATAGATACGAACAGAAAACTCTCCATACAATTTAAATATATTTAATTAAAGGTAAGTTGGTAACAAGACTATGTTTGTAGACGATGTTTTTTTTATTGAATATGTAGGTGCAACTAATAAATGATCAATAATACAAATAATTGTCTTTAACGCAAGGATCTTACATTTAAATCCTTTAGTTGATTGACTTATGACTCTACATGGTCATAGTCATGGTTGCATGTTTATAATTTTCGATATCGATAATTGAAACCATATGTTGTTGGTATTTCAAAGCATTATATTCAGTTCTATGCTACTTTAGAGTCGGCACGTGTATGTAAACCGGAATAATACTTTCTTTACACATATTACAGAGGTTTTTGAGTTTCAAATGCCCATGTTCAAGTCTTGCCAAAAGGATTGCATGTTTTTCTGGATATTCAAAAATACGCCAAACATTTTTGGTTACCATCCAAAAAATAAGATATTTGTGATGTACACAGTTGACTTTCTAAGCCTAAATCCAAAAAAACTCCAATAGATTATTAATAAGTCTTTTGTTAACTATCTACAATTTTAAGATAAGTAAATTTAAAGGTCTACAATTCGAAGAATGATTATTACCACCACGTTTGTGGGGCGTAACATCTCTTTTAGAATTTCTAATACACCTAGTGTTAAACTTTGGTTGATGAGCAAATTCAACTAGGGCTGGAGAACCGGAGCTTTTTGCTTAGCTTTGTACGAGTCAACTAGGCAAAGTGAGAGAAAATTTTACAAGTAAATAAAGTATCCCGAACGAGTTTATGTTGGCTTCGGATAATGTTATTTATATATTATTTTAAATGAGGTCATATTGAGCGAGTCCGGATCCTCTGGTGTATAATAGCTTCCTATGCTTCGATTTATTGTTTGTTAAGATACACGCTTCTTTTATTATTTTCCAAGACTCTGTTGTTTCTCTTGCTTTTATTAAGTATGTTTCAATATATATAGCACATTTTTCGACTTATTTTTTACTTATCTAAATGTATATTAGTAAGTGTGCATAATCAGTTTCATGTAATAATTGATTTGAGTAATGCAACTCCTAGTTAGAGTGGATTTTTATTTCGTTAGAGGGTTGAGTGTGGATACATAGTGGTAATTTTAAATACAATAAATTATGCTGTTTTAGTGAATGCGT